TGACGGCCTCGCCGCTGCGCCTGCCGGCCCGCCGCTGCACCCTACGGCCCGCCGCTGCACCCAGCGGCCCGCCGCTTCACCTGACGGCCCAGCCGCTGCACCTGCCGGCCCGCCGCTGCACCCTACGGCCCGCCGCTGCACCCAGCGGCCCGCCGCTTCACCTGACGGCCCCGCCGCTGCACCTACCGGCCCCCCGCTGCACCCTACGGCCCCGCCGCTGCACCTGCCGGCCCGCCGCTGCACCGGTCGACCCGCCGCTGCACCTGCCAGCCCGCCGCTGCACCTGACGGCCCCGCCCCTGCATCTCCCGGCCGAGCCGCCCCAGCAGCAGAGCCGCCCCAGCAGCCGAGCCGCCCCAGCCGCCGAGCCGCCCCAGCAGCCGAGCCGCCCCAGCAGCCGAGCCGCCCCAGCAGCCGAGCCGCCCCAGCTGCAGTGCCGCCCGAGCCGCCCGAGCCGCCGAGTCGCCCGAGCCGCCCAGCAGTCGAGCCGCCCGAGCCGCCCGAGCCGCCCGAGCCCTCCCTGCACTGCCCTGTCTGGTGAGCACTGAGCTTTACTCTGCGCACTGCCCTCTCTCTACTGCTGTCATGGCTACCCCCAGTGTCCTCGCCTTTGACGCTGAGGGCAGAGCCATTGACTTTGACGTGTGGGTAGACGACCTACTGCTTTTCCTACAGTGCGACAGAGCTGACGGACTCTCTCTCTTTGATCTCACTTCTGGTGCCTCTCCCGCCCCTGCTGCTACTGAGGATGCCAATGTTCGCTCACAGTGGGCCACACGCGATGCTGCTGCACGTCTTGCTGTGCGTCGCCACCTCCCTCCCGCTGAGCGTGCGCACTTTGGGTCGTACAAAAGTGCTAAGACCTTGTACGACGCCGTTATCGCACGCTACTCCACCCCTGCCACTGCTGCACTGAGCCGCCTCATGCTACCGTACCTTTTTCCCGACCTTGCTGCTTTTGCCACAGTCGCCGACCTCATTACCCACCTGCGCACTAGTGACGCTCGTTTCCGCGCTGCACTTCCTGCTGAGTTCTGCGCCAAGAACCCCCCCCCCCCCCCAGTACTTCACTCTCTACTACATTGTCACCCGCCTCCCTGACTCCCTTCGCGGAGTCAGGGACGACCTACTCACAGTCTGCCCCACCACTCTCACTGTCGAGATCCTCGAGAAGTCCCTCCTCGCAACCGAGAAGAGCATTCTCGCTGTAGGGGCCTCTCGTGGTGACCCGCGCACCCCCATCTTTGAGGGGTGTTCCCCCTCCCCCCTCCTGCCCTCTGTCGCCTCTGCTGCTACGGCCGACCTTGTTGGTTTTGAGTCGGTCGGAGCGGCGTCTGCCCCCAGCGGGAGACGTCGCTCTGGCAAGAGCAAGGGGGGCAGGGGCGGTGGTGGAGGCGGCGGGGGCGGTGGAGGCGGAGGTAGAGGCAGCAGCGGAGGTGAGGGTGGTAGCGGGAGTAGTGGCGGGAGTGGAGGTGTCGGCGGAGGCAGTGGAGGCGGGGGCGGCAGCGGCGGTGGTAGTGGGGGTGGAGGCGGAGGCGGCGGTGGCGGCGGCGACGGTGGGAGTGGCGGTGGCGGTGGAGGTGGTGGCGGCGGCGGCGGAGGAGGCGGCGGAGGTCGTGGCGCGCCGAGGAGGAGTGGCTCCGGTGGTGGTCAGCGCCAGCAGCAGCAGCGTGGTCAGGAGACCCTCTCACCGCAGCAGCTCCGTGAGTGGTACTCTGCGCGTCAGCGGGGTGGGGGTACTGGTCCGTGCACTTACGTCCTGCGCACTGGCGACCGTGCGGGTGAGCAGTGTGGTGGTCCACACTCCGCCCAGCGTTGCTTCGGCCGCCTGACTGACGCTTGGCGCCGCCAGTTTCCTGACGCCTCTGAGATCCCTCGCTGGGACCAGCTGTCTAGGGCTGGAGTAGCTATCTTTGATCTTGACTTTGATGCTATTCTTGCTGCTATGTATGCTGTGACTATTAGTGAGGAGGGTGACTGTTACCGGTGTTTCCCGCCCGACCCGGGCATTGGTATCGCGGCTCTAGGTGCTGTTGAGGCTGCTGCTCTAGGTGCCAGTGAGTCTGAGTCCTCAGGTGCTGGTGAGTCTGCTCTCTCAGGTACTGCGTCGACTTCACCCTCTCTCACTTTCACTCTTGACTCCGGGGCGTCTCGCTCCTTCTTTCGAGACCGCACCACACTCACGCCGCTTAGTCGGCCAGTGGCGGTCTCCTTGGCAGACCCCTCTGGGGGTCCTGTTCAGGCTCGCTACTCCACTGTCCTGCCGTGCCCTGCGGTCCCGTCTGGCGCCCTGTCCGGTCTCTACCTCCCCTCGTTCTCTACGAACTTGGTGGCGGGTGCTGACCTACAGGATGCAGGGGTTGACCAGTTCACCCCTGCGCGCCGACGAGTCACCCACTGCACGGACGCGGACACGGGTCGACACCTGACCACATTCACACGTGGTCCAGGGTCGAGCCTGTACACACTCACTGTTCCGTCTCCTTCTCCTGCGTCTGGTCAGGTAGCTGCGTCGGGTCAGGTGTTTACTGCAGCGTCCAGGTCTGGTCCTGAGTCTGCCCCCTGCTCGTGTCGCCTCCTGTCCCACGAGACCCTCCTGTGGCACCACAGGATGGGTCACCCCTCCCTGCCTCGTCTCCGGGGCATGGCCTCTCGCCTTCTTGTCTCTGGCCTTCCCCGGTCCCTCCCTCCCCTTCCTCCGGGGCCTGGCCCTCCCTGTGTCCCCTGTGTCGAGGGTCGCCTGCGGGCTACCCCTCACTCCTCCCCGTTCCCTCCGACGGAGGCCCCGATGCAGACGCTTCACATGGACGTGTGGGGCCCAGCCCGCGTCCGTGGACAGGGTCACGAGCGCTACTTCCTGCTGGTGGTTGACGACTACTCGCGTTACACCACAGTCTTCCCCTTGCGCAGCAAGGGTGAGGTCACTGAGGTGTTGATCGACTGGATCCGCGCAGCTCGTCTCCAGCTCAGGCGGAGCTTCGGCTCCGACTTTCCTGTTCTGCGTCTGCATTCGGACAGAGGCGGAGAGTTCTCCTCCGGCCTTCTGCGAGCCTACTGTCGGGCACGAGGCATCCGCCAGACCTTCACGCTTCCGGACTCTCCACAGCAGAATGGGATTGCTGAGCGCCGCATCGGCATTGTCATGGACGTCGCCCGTACGTCCATGGTGCATGCGGCTGCCCCCCATTTTCTGTGGCCGTTTGCGGTTCGGTACGCCGCGCATCAGATCAACCTTCAGCCCAGAGTCTCCCGACCGGAGACCTCCCCAGCTTTGCTGTGGTCGTCACAGGGTTACACCTTCAGTCTTGGTTCCGGCTCTGTCTCGTGGCGGGCTACTCGTTCGTCTTCGGTTCTCAGCTCCAGTTGTGAGGCTGAGATCTACGTCGGGGCCATGGCTGCACAGGAGCTTCGCTGGCACACCTACCTGCTGACTGACCTTGGAGAGCCGCCTCGTTCTCCTCCAGTGCTGTACGTAGACAACAAGGCCATGCTGGCCTTGTGTCGAGAGCAGCGTCTGGAGCACAGAACGAAGCACATTGCTCTTCGCTACTTCCTTGCTCGTGAGCTACAGCAGCGTGGACAGTTGCGGCTTGCGTACGTGGCCTCTGAGGCCAACACTGCTGATGTGTTCACCAAGGCACTCGCGCCTTGTGACCATCAGCGCTTCTGCACCCAGCTGGGTCTTGTGCCTGTCTTGCCTCACTTGCTCTCCTCTTGACTTTACTTGTACTGTGACATATATATATACCTGCTCTTGCTTGTCTAGTTTTATATATATATATGTCTGTACTCCTGCATGTGAACTGGCCTCTGGCCCTGCTCTTGTGCTCGGACTGTGTGGTGACTTTGTGATCCACCTCGAGCTTGCTTTGCTTTGCTTTGCTTGACTGGTCTTGTGACCCCTTGTTCTCCCCCCACTTTGCCTATGGGGGTGTGTCATAACATATCTATAGCTTATACTATTGTGTAGGCTGTAGTGCGGTATCCCATAGGGGGTACAACCCAGTTAGGGTTTCATATTTGTACTGCCTTCATTCATACGTAGTTTACATCATCCCTGTTCACTTGTTTCACAAGCTGCCTTTCCACTTGCAGGTTGAGTGGGCCCAGACGGTTATAGCTATAAATAAGACACTACACGCAGACCACGAACAGCATCGTTTGGCTGTTTGGCGTGGAGGTGAAGGCAGAGTCGGAATATTGAGCTCAGGTGCGCCTGATAAGGCTGTCTGTATTATTGTAGCTAAAAGAAGTTTTTATTTGGTGTGCTGAGGTCTCTGTTTCTGTGCCGTCCCTTTAATTTGGAGGTTGTGTTGTTCGGTAGTCTGAAAGTGCCAATAGACGAGTCATTTCGATAAAGTACCAATCGTGTCATTTCATCGGAACGCGGCTGGTACGGTCCATTTGACACCTTTCACGTCAGAAAAGGCACCCAAGAAGTGACTGGGGATAAGGTGAGGCTGCCACGTGACATGTCCATGTCACCAGCTAAAGTGTGCAAGCTCAATTGATGTTTGGCGCCTGAGAGTCCGCGCTGACCTGCGATGACTTGTTGCCAGGGCATGCGAGCCATTTCCACCACTCACATTCGGTTCAAGATGTCATCATGCCAAAATTGATTGGCTGGTCATAATCTTGCTGAGCTGTTCGTCGACGCCCTTGGGATAACCGCTCTGTGGGTGGTCTACCACCACATCGATCTGATGCTGTGATCAACCTCCTAAGAGTCCAAACAAGAGCCTAGAGTGGCATTGGCATGTCATCGGATGTGAGTGGTCAGGCAGATCACTGAACTGTGGGATTCCAGTGCCTCCTCACCTTGCACATTTCACTGAAACATTTCACCCTCATCCCTGAGCGACATTTGACTCACATTTCAGCTGTTCCTGGCAGTGAGCAACCAGTCTTCCACTTCGCATCCGAGCATTCAATCCTGGTCTGAGGTGCCAGTAAATTCCTACTAACTGGAATTAGTCATTTCAGATCAGGGCAAACGCGAAAATGGAGGCTTGCACTGCCGTTAAGGCCTGCTCTGCCTCTCTGGCACCGTGCCGCGGACAGCAGGTGTCGTCTGCTTCTAAGATCGAGCTGACGACCTCTTTCCTGCCTGGTGAATCCTTAGTGCCTGCTGGTTGGCCTTATTTATCGACCTTGTTGGTGGTGGCAGTAGTCCGCTTAGTGGCTATCAGCATAGTGACCGTAGTCTGCGATGAATAGTGCCTGCTGCATGGCCTTGTAATTCTCCGCGATTAGTCCATGCCGGCCGTTTGGTTGTAGCGTTTTAAGTGAACCATCTCTCCCGCGTTCGTTCCTGTGCGCCCTGTCTGCTGTGGTGCAGCACCCTCACGAAGCCATGGCCTTATGGCCGCCAGAAAAGCGGCCAGCACGCCCCGCCGTGTAGTGTCGCCGTGTGCAAAAGTGCGGGAGATTTTCATGCCGGCGCTGAGCTCGACCATGACGGAGGGCAAGATCGTTGCCTGGTCGAAGAGGTATCGAAACGTTATCAGTTTCATTCCACGGTCCTCCAACATGCTCCAGTGCTTTTCGACTCGTTTCCATCCACCTTTGCGAAGCTGATGTCCGTTCGATGTGTGTGGATTGCTTGGCTGCCATTGGTGGTCCTGGTCCTGGTCCTGATCCTGGTCCTGGTCCTTGTTACTTATTGCAGCGAAGGCGATCAGCTGTCGAAGGGCGAGAGCGTTGTGGTGGTGGAGTCGGATAAGGCGGACATGGACGTCGAGACCTTCTACGATGGGATCCTCGCCGCTATCCTTGTCGACGAGGGTGAGGTATGCTCCATTGCACGTCGGCTGCCCGGCTTTGTATAAGCCGTATTTTCTCGTATTAAAATGGAAGTGGACACCACGGTATTCCTGTCATTGCGTACCGTTTTTTAGGTCCAGCGAGTGCTGCTATTTTGTTGAGTCAGTAGCTCTGTTTCGTCAGTTTGGCGCATGGGTAGGCAAGGCTGGAAACACGTACGATGCCAATGATGTATAACGTGCCGTATATCAGATGGCTTCGATGTCAACTGGTGATTACACTCACATTGTCACTACCTCTGATGGCATTGTATAGCTGCTAACTTCAGTAGGTGAGTGTCGGGTGCTTTCTACAACGATTACCTCGCTCTCTTTTTTCTCTCTCTCTCTCTCTTCCTCTCTGCCCTTCCTTCGCTCCCTCTGCCTTGCATTCCTATCGTCCTTTTGTGCTCCATCCTATCCTCTCCTCGGTTTTGTTCTAATGTTGCCAGTGATGTTCATTTTCTTATATCACCTGATTGGCTTGAAGCCATGTGCTGACACCATGATTGTCACTACCTCTGAGGCAACTTGTCCCTCTCTCGGTTTGCCTTCGTCATTCACTCTCTCGTTTTGCCTTCTGAGCTTTGCTTTCCGGCATCCTACAGTCTCCATACATGTGAAGTCATGTCGTGCAGCCAGCTCAATCGTCCCCTCCATTCCGGCCGCCCAAACGTTATGCAGCGCATGTCGCTTATAGTCACCTGTAAAACCACAGCAGCAAGGAAAATGGGTAAAAACTGTCATTGTCGCCCTTTTCGTCCCTCCAGATGGCTCCTGTGGGCTCAGCCATCGCGGTGCTGGCTGAATCCGAGGACGAGCTCGACGCCGCCAAGGCTGCAGCAGCGAAGATCAAGGGGGGTTCTTCCTCTGCTCCTGCCGCTGCTGCTCCTGCTGCCCTTGCTCCTGTCGAATCTGCCGCTCCTCCCCCTCCCGCCCCTGCCGCCCGGGCGGCATCTGCTCCTGCTGCTGCGGTGGTGTCGACGCACCCAGCGGCAGCGGGCGGTCGCATTGTGGCCACTCCCTATGCGAAGAAGCTGGCAAAGGAGCTCAAGGTGCGCCGTTCATGTAAAAAAAAAAAAACGAACAAGAAAAAATAAGAAAACAAATACATAACACGCATTTGCTTTTGCACGTGGAACATGGTAGCTAAAACTGGGGCTATCATGCCCTTGGAGTGGGCTCGTGGATTTACATGTCTTCTATTCTTACCGTTGGCAGGTGAACCTGGCAACGGTTGTCGGATCAGGGCCGCTGGGTCGCATTGTTGCCTCTGATGTGGAAGCTGCTGCCGCAGCACCCGCAGTGGTAGCTGCCCCAGTTGTTGCTGCTGCTCCTACCGCTCCTGCTGCTGCTGCTCCGCCGGCAGCTGCACCAGCTGGGCCCGCGGTGGTGCCTGGGAGCACGGTGGCGTTCAGTGGCATGCAGGCTGCAGTGGCTCGCAACATGGAGGCGAGCCTCGCCGTGCCCACGTTCCGCGTGGGCTACACCATCACCACGGACGCCCTCGACGCGCTCTACAAGCAGGTCAGCTGACTCATCCTGCTTTACAACCCATTCCTTCCTTTCCCACACTTCCCTCCCGACCACCCCCCCCCCTTTTGTTACCCGTGTCCCTGCTTGATAGCCGCATGTCGCGCTGCTCCGCTTTCCTTCTTAATCGCGTCTCCTTCCTCCCATTTCATCCTAATATTCGGCATCTCATGCAAATCCGATCAGATCAAGGGCAAGGGCGTCACGATGACCGCGCTGCTGGCCAAGGCAGTGGCCATGGCTCTGGCTCAGCACCCCACGGTGAACGCCAGCTGCCGGGACGGAGGCAGCTTCGTGTTCGCGCCCAGCATCAACGTGTGCGTGGCCGTCGCCATGGACGGCGGGCTCATCACTCCCGTACTGCAGGACACGGATAAGGTGCGTTTCCGCTGCTGGCCCTCTCCGCTCTTGCAGTGGTTCTCTAACTTGCTGGCTAGCATTAGTACGTGTCAACCACCTGGTTGCGTATGCTCTCTTCCCAGTCAACATGGTGGAAAATGCAGTCACACTGGCCGGGCCTTTATGAGTGGATGCTCAGCATAGTGATGTGGTGTGCTGCGTGTGTGCTTGGGCGAGTGCAGATGGACATCTACACGCTGTCCCAAAAGTGGCGTGAGCTGGTGCAGAAGGCCAGGGAAAAGAGACTCAGCCCTGCAGAATACCAAACAGGTAAGCTTCAACCAGCACGAATGTTTCTAGTCCTTGACTCTTTGACCTATCTGCATGCTTTTTATTGTTTTCTGCAAAATGGATGTGATTATTTTGTTTCTTTCCCCTTGCCATGCGTTCCCATGCAGGCACCTTCACTCTTTCCAACCTCGGAATGTACGGTGTGGATCGCTTCGATGCCATTCTGCCACCTGGCCAGGTACTGCCTCCAGTTTTCAATGTCCAGAGACACATTGCAACAGTTCCAGATTCTCTCTTATCTCTTCTGCAAGCCTGTTGGTGCAAGTTTCTGACTGTCAACTTGTGTGCAATCTCTGCTGGTCTGGTTGGGTGTGTATTTGCGTTGCAGGGTGCCATCATGGCTGTTGGCGCTTCTCGCCCCAAGGTGGTTGCTCTGCCCAATGGCATGTTTGCTGTGCGGAGGCAGATGCAGGTGTGTTCCGTTTGCCATACAGGCTGTTAGTCGCTCATGGGGTTATGAAAAGCATGATGCATGATTACATACATTGTTCTTTAGTGTCACTGGGCTTCGACTGTGCTCCACTTTGGTTGGTTCTGTCCACCATGCTGATGTTTCTGTCTACCCCTTGCCTGCAGGTGAATGTCACTGCTGATCATCGGATCATCTATGGTGCTGATCTGGCAGCCTTCCTGCAAACGTTGGCTCAAATTATTGAGAATCCAAAGGATCTCACTTTCTAGAGCCTCATAGGTACCGCAAATGACGGTTATGACTACGCTTGTTCAGTATTAATAGAAAGCGGGCAATTATGTTTGCACAGCATACAGGTTAGAATGAGTCATGCAAAGATGTCAACATAATGATACATGCAGGTTTAAGATCTCATGTTTGCTGCAAACATATTACGGTACCGATGTTCCCAAAACCGCAACACCTTTTTTTGTGGTAAAACCGCCAACAGAGGAACTACCGTAGCTATGTTAGGCGAGGAGTCGAATTAGTGGCGAAAAACATATCGGTAGAAAACTAATAGGATCCTGGTTGCAGGTTCATCGGCACATGCGAGGCACTATCCTGGCTGGCATTTAGCAAATCATCCAATTGTTGCGAAGCGAAGGTGAAGTGGGACGGGGCAGTGGTGGAACCTGTGTGATCAACCACATGAAAAGCTCTTGCATGGACTACAGCAGCTGCTGTAGGAACACCCTCTGCTGTCATCCGTGCCAGTGTCTGAGTGTGGTGGTGGTGATGACTCGCATGCCACATGTCTTGTGCTGCAGCCATTGACCCGACCATGTCTTGCGATGGTACACTGCCTTCCAATGCTCCAGAACCATCATGCATGGAATGCATACCATGGTCAGCCACGACTGCATGGTTTAAATCCGCTGAGCCTCTGTCATTGCCTGACTCATGTAGTGCAGAAGCAACCACATAACCATGTGTACCTGCTGCAACATCAACTGTGTGGTGAGCTGCTGCCTCATGGTGCATCATATTAACTTCGGAGCCCATACCCTGAACCATGTGCATGGCTGCAACCTCTCTCTCCGGTTCTGGCAGTCCAGCTTCACCCGCTACCACCATGGCCTGCCCTGCTAACGCTGACGCTGTTTCAACATCTGCCTCCGCTGCTGCGGCTGCTGCTGCTGCTGCTGCTGCTGCTGCTGCTGCTGCTGCTGCTGCTGCTGCATTGTCTGCCGCTGCTGCTTCTGCTGCTTCTGTCTCTGCTTCGACTTCTGCCACCGCTGCTGCTGCTGATGCCAGAGGTTCTGATGCTGCCCCACCTTCTGATGTTACCGCAGCTGTCATTCCCTCCTGTGTGGACGGTTCAGTCGGCCCTTCAACCAGCGTAAGCTGAAGCTGTTTCCTTTCCTCCTCCGCTGCTGTTGTCACCCCCACATGCGGCACACCAGCTGCAACATCATTCAACGACGTAACGGGCACAGCAGGCGTTGGCGTGAACACAACACCTCGCAGCACCGCACTGCACCCCTCCACGCGCAAGGCCACAAAGAAACCGGCTTCAAACACTCCGTCCACCATCCCACGCACCGACTGACCCAACCGCACAGACCCTCCTGATTGCCCCTCCGCCCCCTCCACCCCAGTCAATAACCCGCCAAAACTCATGCCGGGTGCAAACTCCCCCTCATCCGCTGTGCTACTGCTCGTGCCACTGCCACTGCGTTCTAAATCTCGCCCGTGTCCCCCCCCAACACCGCCTGCTCCCGCGAAACCCTGGCCCCTAGCGCCGGGATACATGGCGGAGGCATCAGCGGCGGCAGTTCCCCCACGGGCCCCCCACGGATCACTGTGCGCTCTGCTTGCGCCTAGCCCCATGCCTAGCCCCGCGCCGATACCGTACCGCGCGGCTATTTGTTGTTGCTTCATAAGGTTCTCCGCTTCTATTTCCGCTTCGATCTCCGCGCGCTTGCGGCGCCGCCGCGTATGCCGCGCATGCGCATCCAGCATCTCACCCCCTTGCTCCGCAGCAGCCGTCGCCGCCGCCGCCCCTGCTGCGGCGCGATTTGCGCCCAGCGCCGACACTCCCGCGCGGGCAGCGTTTAGGTACTCCTGGCGCGCAGCGGGAGCCAGAGCATTCCAGCGCATGCCGATCGCGCGCTCGGTCTCACTCACCGACAAATGCGGATTCTCCCTTTGCACGGCAGGTCGAACCTTAGCTGCGAAAAGATTAAAGGCGCGTAAGTTGAGCGTCACTTGGCCGCTACCCGGTGGTGCCGGCCCCGCGGAGGGGCGATTCCCCCCCGATCCGCCGCCGTCTAGATCTGCGGCTGAGATCGAGCCATCAGCGTCACGATTCGACGCATCGAGCGGTGCTTCCGATCCCGGGGCAGGTGGCGTGGCACGAGATGGGGCTGATCGGACGGTACTGGACGCAAGAACAGATTTAGTGGCATTATCTACCCACGCGGGGGTTACTGTGTCCGCCCACGCGGGTCTGTGCGCTTCCCCCCACGCTGCCCTACCCCGCCCCCGACCCCTTCCGCGCCCGCGACCACGACGGCCTGCGCCATCGGCGGTAGCAGGACCCGAGGATCCACTCCGCCCGCGCCCGCCGACCGGACGCATTTCGGAAGAGAGGAGTGCCTGAATGGACGAGGAAAGAGGTGCGACGGAATCGAAAGGCAGAAGGCGGGAAACGAAGATACAGAGTAAGACGAGGTAGATTGTCAGATCTGATACCTAATCTGATCCTAAGGCGTAACCATAATCTGGAGGAGGCGCGAACGTAAGTGGTCGAACGTACAGAGTACGGCGAGAAGGATCCATGCGGCGCTTGCGGACCTTGCGGACCTTGCAACCCCTGCGACCCTGGCCCCAAGCGGCCACCCTCCCCCGGCTCCTGCGGGGCTTGCGCCATTTGAACGCGCCGATGTTAAGAATACCCGGGGGCGTTTGCTGCCGCGTCTGCTGCGATTGCCGCTGGATAATAAAAGGCGAAATGATTAGTCCTGCAGGCGCCGCTGATTGCGATCGCGGGCAGCGGCGGTAGAGAAGAATCGGATCAACCTAAATCGATGTAAGGACAGCAAAGAGATCTCTAGCAATGAGCGCATGCGCAACGGTGGTAGAAGAGACCAGGCAAGAGGGGAGCGACGAATTGAGCCGGCGACGTGACCTGAGGAAACGACGACAAGGTTTCACCAAGTATGCGCCGGCGAGACTGCAGAAAATAAATCGCAGTTTAGGAACTGGACTGGAGTGGAGGACGACAGAGAGAGCGAGCGCAAGGAAAAGGGGGAGAGCATGGGTGAAGGGGGGAAAGAATCGCACGCGGAAGGTGGGCGGAGCTGTACTAACGAGGGGTACTGTGAAGGTTTCGAGGAGGTCCAGTCTTGTATATTCTCGATAGTCTCGATTAGTTTTGCGTCTTGTTTAATTTCAGTAGAGTGGTATTATCCTTTTCAGAGATGCGTTTGTAGCGAATATTTTTGGAGCTTTCGTGGCCGCCGTCACAATGGGGCCGCCCTTGGTTGGACGAGCCGCTAGCGTCTCGGTGGGTTACAGGCATGTGTTGCGAAAACTGTGTTATACCTTTCTCCTATTCGAGGGCGATCTTTATAGGGAAGCACATTTACAGCCACGTCGCTAGCGAAGATTGGCGACGACTCTGGTGTCTATGCTGGTGGGCGTGTTGTTGGGAAAGCGGCGTCGGCCTAGGGGCGCAAGGCCCTTGAGCCGATGCGCTTCGATGACCCATACGGGTTCTGGCTTGGTTGGATATGGTTTGGTTGGGCGAGTTCGGGGCCCAGGTTCGCAGATCGGGCGGCGGACTCTGGTTCTGTTTTCGGTTTGGGTACGAGGCTTGGTTGTTTGGTACCTACCTGTGATTTGTGTTTCTTGGAGATTGGGCAATGGCGGGGTAATGGCCTAACAATGGTGGGACATACGTATGGCGCACGAGTCAGTCAAACCAGTGAGTGGAGGCGATCGAATCAAAAGCAAAATCTAAAACTGCCGTGAGAGGAGAGAGAAAAAACACACGACGTTGAAATTGAAACCAAATTTACGCAAGCAGACGCAGATACAGCGGCCATGGAGGTCTAGATGGAGTTTATTCCAACGTCGCGCCGTAAGTTCGGAATATCTCCCTCACCAATCTGCTCAACCCTAGTTGCTGACGCCCGCGAGTGTTTGTGGGTCGGCTGAGCTCCTTCGCGCAAGCGCCCTTCGCCCTAGACGCTAGTAGCATGTCGCAGCCTTAGCATCAGCACTTTCTCTCGCCGTGCCGTGCAATCGAGGAATGATGACCACGGCTGCACATAGCATCAGCGGCGGCTGCGGCTGCAGCATCGGCGGCGGCTGCGGCTGCAGCATCGGCGGCGGCAACGCGAACCCACCGGGACAAGAGTGGCAGCAGCGGCGAGAGGCTCCCTGCGACAACGAGCATCGTCGCCATCGTCGCCATCGTTGCCATTGTCGCCATCGTCGCTTGCTGCAAGCCGCCGTGTCCGCGCTTCTTTTCTGCCTCGCCACCCTGCGCGCACCGGTATCGGTCCATGGCGCGGACTGGGAGAGTATGGCGCGCGAGCTCGACCCCCCGGGCACCATCCTGTGGTCCTGGACCAACTCGCGTTCGCCCTGCGACGCGCCACCCTTCCTCGTACGCACCAGAGATATTTCCTCCCCTCTCATTCCATCTCTGAGTTTTGTAGTCGCTTTTTCTAGGCGCGTTTAAGATTGACTCCACCTCAGCAGATTTGTTCAGGCGGTTCAAGAAAAGGCTCCCCGCATGAGCCGGAGTCCCACACCCCGTGCAACGCGTTTAAATCGCACCAGCCAGGGCGTAGCGCACTCGGTCCCCAAAGCTCCAGCCCTTCCCATCTCCGCCCTCCCTTTCCCCCTCCCTCCCTTCCCCCCCCCCCCCCCCCCCCCCCCCCTCTCCCCCCAACCCCCCCGCGCGTTCCCCGGCAGGGCATGGTGTGCGACCCCGCGTCGGGCAAGGTGGTGGGGCTATCGCTGCCGGAGATGGGGCTGTCGGGGCAGCTGCCGGGGGAGATGGCGCAGATGAGCGACGTCACGAGCATCGAGGTGCCGCGGAACTACCTGCAGGGCGACATCCCCAACACCATCAACAACCTCGGCAAACTCCAGGTGCGCGGGAGGTAACGCGCGCGAGTGTACTGTACTGCCTCCAATCCGATCTCGGCAACCTCCAGGTCGGGTTGGGCGCGGCGCCGGGCTTCGCGGAAGAGTATCTGAAACTCGGAGGGGGGGTGGGGGAGGGGTGCAGGTTGGGAGAGGCGAAAGCGAGGACGGCTGCTTTGAAACGAGAGGGAGACGGTTCGCGTGGAAAAGGTGCTGTCCTGTAGCGCAACTGATACACCCCCCTGTCTCCGCGCGTCCCCGCCCGCCCACTCCCGCCACCCCCGCAGGTGGCGGACCTGGCGGGCAACGGCATAAGCGGGCAGATCCCGGACCTTTCGCCCATGCGCGCGCTGCGCGTGCTGCTGCTGGACGGCAACCAATTGCAGGACGCCGTGCCCTACACCATCACCGCGCTCTCCAACGTAAGTTGCGCGCCCTCGCGCGTGCGTGCGTGCGTGCGTACCACACTTGCTATCCATGCACCATCCTCCAACGTAACTTCTGTACTTTTTCCCCCCTTCTCGCCCGCTCCCACATGCTTCTTCTCGTCGCCCTGCTTGGCCGGCCGGCCCCTATTCTTTCTCTCCCCCATCGCCGCCTCCCTGCCTACCTGAACCTCTCCACACCTGCCCCCCACTATTTCCGCCCGCCTCTCGCCAGCTGGAGCAGCTGGGTCTGAGCAGCAACACTCTGGCCGGCGCACTGCCGTCCTCGCTGTCAGCGCTGACGCGGCTGACGTGGCTGCGCGTGGACGGCAACCAGCTCGTGGGGCCGCTGCCGCCCGGGCTGGCGGCCATGGCGAGCGCGCCTGGCGCCGTGTTTAACCTCACTGCCAACGACCCCACCCTGTGCGGCAAGGAGGTGCGTGGGTGGGTGGGTGTGGCTGAATGGGTGGTGGTGGTGGTGGTGGTGGTGGTGATGGGGAGAGGTTTTTGAGATATTTGAAAAGACGCCTGCAACCTCATACCCAACGACCCCACCCTGTGCGGCAAGGAGGTGCGTGGAAGGGTGGTGGTGGGGAATGGGAGAGGGAGGGAGAGAGGGGGGAGAAGGGGAACGAGGGAAAAAGGGAGAGGAATGAGAGGGGGAGGGAGGTGAGGAAGAGAGAGGAAGAGAGAGAGAGAGAGAGAGAGAGAGAGAGAGAGAGAGAGAGAGAGAGAGAGAGAGAGAGAGAGAGAGAGAGAGAGAGTTTTGACTCTGGTTGTTAGTTTACCTTACTCTTTCCGTCCTCCTGTAATACCAATATTCCTCTTATCGCCCTTCCATCCCTTCTACCACCCTCTCTCCCTTCGTGCTGCTCGTCTCCTCACCCCACTCCCAACCCCCATCACCATCATCCTCATCCTTGCTCCCCTTCGTATCATCACCCTCCTCTGCTTCCCCCACAGCCATGTCCCGGCGTGGCACTAACACCACCACCTGACGCGGCCCCCCCGACACTTGCCGCGCCCTCTGCTGCTCCCCCTTCCCTCCCGCCGCCACTGGCTTCCCCCTCCACTCCTGCCCCAAAATCCCCCCCAAGCGCTCCCCCTCCCACAAACGCACTCCCCCCCGACTCCCCTCCGCCTTCCTCCCCTTCCCCCGCGCCAACCTCTCCCCCTTCCTCACCCCCGCCTAGCCCGCCCCTGACTCCCACCCCGCCCTCATCCCCGTCGCCCTCTCTCTCTTCCCCCCCTCCTTCTGATCCCTCCTCATCCCCCTCATCCCCCGCACCCCCCTCCTCCCCCTCCACCCCTCCCACCTCCTCCACATCTGCTGTTTCGGAACCATCATCCATTCCACCACCTAACACAACCACCACCACCACCACTGGCAGCAGCAGCAGCGGCAACAGCGGAGGGAGTGGTGGCATAAGCGTGGGCGTGGTGGTGGGGATCATAGCAGCGGTGGCAGTGCTAGCCGTTGCCCTCCTCCTCTTCGCCTTCCTCTGCCTGCGCAAGCCCAAGCACCCATCCGCCCCCTCTTCCGCCTCTGCCACCGCCACCGTTGCAGCAGTAGGTGGTGCAGGTGCTGGTGCTGGGAGGGCTGGGGGGAATGACGCGGATGAGAAGGGGCAAGAGGGGAGGATGGAGAGGGGGGAGTTACCGATAACAGGCTCTTTTATCAAGTATCTCCCCCCTCAGCATGCAATTTCGTCTGCCCCCCCTCCGCCGCCTTCCCCTGCTGTTCAGCCGGGAGGGGGGGATAGGGGCCGCCCTGCACCCGCTGCAGAGGGGGAAGGGGGGGAGCAGGGGACGAAGGGGAAGCGGGACGGGGCGGGAAGTGGGAGGCGAGGAGGGGAGGGGGAGAAGGGGAAGGGAAGCAAGTCAGGGCGAGGGATGGAGGGGGCTGGCTCAGGTGGGGCTGCTGACGCTGCTGCTACTGCTGCTGCTGCTGGTAGTGGCGCTGGTAGCACATTGGCTGATCCTGATCCTCCCGGTGGTGCTACTGGTGGTGCTGCTGCTACTGCTGTTGCTGCTACCACTGCTGCTGGGTTGGTTGCTGGCGCTGCTGCTGCTTCTGCTGCTGCTGTTGTTGTTGCCGCTGCTGCTGGTGCTAGTGACGACCGTAAGGAATCTCCCAGCACCACGGCTCGTGCTTCCAGTGCAGAAAATGCAGCTACTGCTGCTACACCCGGTGCTGCTGCTGCTACTACAGCTGCTGCTGCTGCTACAGCTGTAGGCACTCCTGCTACAAGCAGCAGCACCCCAACCACGGGCAGCACTGCAAGCAGCGGCGCCATCATCAGCAGCAGCAGCGGCACCAGTGCCACTGCGAGCAGCAGCAGCGGCGGGGCTGTTGTTGGTGGAGGTGGTGGTGATGAGGCCGGAAGCGGTAATGCTGGCAACGGTGGCAACGGTGGCAGTGGTGGCAGTGGTGGCAGTGGCTTGAACGTTGGGCGGAAGTGGTCGCAAGGAAGTGGAAGGAAGTACGAAGAAGACTTCACTGAGGGCGTCGGGGAGTCCCAGAAAGTGGATGAAGCAGAAAGTGGAATGGGGATAGGAGTGGGAGCGGGAGTGGGAGTGGGAGTGGGAATGGGAGTGGGAATGGGAATGGGCATGGCGGATGGGAGGGATGAGGAGGAGGAGGCTGCAGATCATGGTTATGACGGGGAGAAGGACAGTGAGAGAGGGTTGCTACTGCCGCCTCTCCCGCCCCCTGCCATCCCCTTCACTGCCTCTTCCCCCTTGCTCGCCCCCATCCCTCCTCCGCCCATCCCCACATCTTCCCCTGTGTCTGCCACCGCTACTACTGCTGCAGCTGCTGCTGCTGCTGCTTCAGCTGCTGCCGTATCACCAAAGTATGGTGTGCCGTCCCGTGCTGATCCTTCTGCTGCTCTCCCCTCCTCTCCCTCAGCTCCCTCTGCTCCCTCTGCGGCACTGCAAGGCACGTCGCCTCGTTCCATCCCATCCTCCTCCTCCCACACCCCATCTCCCAAGCCCACGCCTCTTCCCTCATCCGCCACCCCATTCCCCCCCATCGTCATCCCCCCTGTCGTTCCCCTGCCCTCCCTCCGCTCCCTCGCCCACCACCGCTCCCCCCTCGCCTCCCAGGCAGCAGCAACAGCAGCAGGGGGAGCAGGAGGGGTAGGGATGCAACCACACACCCCGCCCTCTTACTATCTCTCTGGGAGTCCCAAGTCTGGTTCTCCTCACACGCCCTCCTCGCTTCTCCCGCCTGCTGCACTCCCTGATTCCGCCACTGCTGCTGCTGCTGCTGCTGCTGCTGCTGGCGTTGCTGCAGTTGGCACAGCAGCAGCGGCTGGGTTGCGAGGGGCATCGATTGAAGAAGGTGCAGGGGAGGCAGGGACGGGAGAAACTGGGGCAGCAGCGGCAGCAGGGGCAGCTGTTGCTGTGGCATCTAGCCGTCTGCCAACGTATGGCGGCGCGGGCCGGGCTTTAAGAGCCGCCGATCTTGAAGGGGATAGTGAGAGCGGCGCGGAGGGAGGAGGGAGAAAAGGTGGAGGAGGAGCGGGAGGGGGGGTGTGGAGCAGTGGTGAGGATGAGAGCAGCGCGTGGAGTGAGAGCGACGGGAGTGTGATCGAGGGGAGGAGATGGAAGGTGGGCCGCTCTGTGTCAGACGTCAGTGGGAGGACGTGGGCCGCTGGAGGAGCGCGAGGGGGTGGAGTAGAAGGCAGAGAAACCGCAGGAGAAGCAGCAACAGCGGTGGTGGGAGGAGGAGGCAGAGGAGGAGCAGCAAGAGGAGGAGGAGGAGGAGCAGGAGAGACAGTTGGTGGGGCTGGGGAAACGGAGGGAGACGAGGCGAGCAGTGAGGAGAGCGAGAGCGGTGGGAGCGGCAGGGGAGTGGCGGAGAAGGTGTTTTCGTTGGCGGAGCTGGCTCTTGCCACCAATGACTTTGGGCGCCAGGGGCAGAGGAACCTGCTGGGCGCAGGGAGGCACGGTGTGGTGTACAAGGCGCGCTTGCCAGATGGCACCACGGTGGCTGTCAAACGACTCACCAACTGCAAGTAAGTTTGTTGTGCGTGCGTGCGTGCGTGCGGGTGTGCGTGCGTGCGGGTGTGCGGGTGTGCGTGCGTGCAAGTGTGCTTGTGTCTGTGCGTCAGCGTCCGTACCTCCTTGCATTTGCTCCACGGTCCATCCTCCAGTCTTACAACCTCTCAAAACGCCTCCCCACCTTCACCCTGTCCCCCTCCCCCCCACCTCTTTCCCCGGCCAGTCCGGACCAGTCAGAGCGGGAGTTCAGGTTCAAGGCGTCTCAAACCACTCCCTCACCCTTCCTCCCTCCCCTTCTCCACCCCTCCTCTCCACCTCCCCCCCGGCCAGTCCGGACCAGTCAGAGCGGGAGTTCCGGTTCGAGGCGGAGGCAGTGGCGAGGGCGCGGCATCCCAACATAGTGGCGCTGCTGGGGTGCTGCGCCCAGGGCTCTGAGCGCCTGCTCGTCTCCGAGTTCGTCCCCAACGGCACTCTGCACTCCTGGCTGCACGCCCCTGCTGCTGCTTCTGCTACTGCTGCTGCTGGTCCTCCTGGTTCTGCAGCTGCTGGTGCTGGTATTGAGGGTGAATCCGCCGCGTGTGCGCCGCTGGATTGGAAGCTGCGCGTACACATCGCCCTGGGATGTGCCCGCGGGTGAGAAGTCTGAACTTGTTGTTGCTGCTGTACATTACATGCAAGCATGCATGCGGGGATGCGGGTATGCGGTGACGCATGAATTGAATCGGCCGCCATCCCATCTCATCTCATCCGATCCAGTTATGAACAAGTGCAGTGCCCTGCCAGTCATGGCCCCTGAGGTTCGATTCCTTCCATCCCCTCCCATCAATCCGTTCCCATCTGGTGATGGCCTCAACACCACCCTCCTCTTCCGGAAATTCCCTCCCTCCCTCCCTCCCTCCCTGCTGCCTCCCCCCGTCCCACTTCCCTCTGCCCGTTCAGTCTAGCATACCTGCACGAGGGGGCAGACGTGCGCGTGGTGCACCGGGACGTGAAGGCGTCCAACGTGCTGCTGGACGCGCAGTGGAACCCCAAGCTCGCTGACTTCGCCCTCCCCGCCATCTCCGGCCGCCTCCACTCCCACGCGCCTTCCCGCCTCCTCGGCACCGTCGGGTGAGGGGGCGAGGGAGGAAATAGAGGGGACAGAAAGAGGGGAGAGGGGAGTGGGCAGCGGGGAGAGGGGAGGGGGGGGGAGAGGGGAGAGGAAAAAGGGAGAAGTACAGACAGATTGCAACTGGTTGTCAGAACCCCTTTCGTGCAGTCAAAAGCTTTTCCAACGATTCCCACAATCTCTCTCTTTCCTTGCATTGAGATCCATGGTTTAGGTATCTCAACATCCCTCCACCCCCACCGTCTCTTCCCCATTCACCATCTCTCCCCCCCCCCCCACCCCCCCATTCCACCCCCAGGTATGTGGCGCCAGAGTACACGGAGCAATGTGCCGCAAAGCAAACTCCCTCCACATCCCCCTGCCATTCACTTTCACACTCTGCTTCCTTTTATATGGGAGTGACTTTTGAGAATTCTCAAAAGTCACTTTCACACTCTGCTTCCTTTTCCTTTCCTGCTTGCCCAATGCCCCACCCCCATTCACCATCTCCTCCCCCCCCCAACCCCCAGGTACGTGGCGCCAGAGTATATCAACACGGGGCTGCTCACGGAGCGCAGTGACGTCTACAGCTTTGGCGTGCTGCTGCTGGAGCTTGTGGCAGGCCGCAAGCCCATCGACACACACCTCTCGCCTGAACAGGTGACGCAGCATGCTTGCTTCTGTGCTTGCTTGCTTCCTTCCTTCCTTCCTTCCTTCCTTCCTTCCTTCCTCCCTCCCTCCCTCCCTCCCTCCCTCCCTCCCTCCCTCCCTCCCTCCCTCCCTCCCTCCCTCCCTTCCTCCCTCCCTCCCTCCCTCCCTCCCTCCCTCCCTCCCTCCCTCCCTCCCTCCCTCCCTCCCTCCCTCTCTCCCTCCCTCCCTCCCTCCCTCCCTCCCTCCCTCCCTCCCTCCCTCCCTCCCTCCCTCCCTCCCTCCCTCCCTCCTTCCTTCCTTCCTTCCTTCCTTCCCTCCTTCCTTCCTTCCTTCCTTGCATGCTCGTTTGCTCACTAGCGTGCTTGCTCCCCACCCACGCCCCTTCCTGCTCTACCCCTTCCCCTCTCCTTCCACTCCTCTTACCACTTCCCCCAACCCATGCAGGTGGATAAAGTGCGGTGGGTGAAGCGGCTGGCAGAGGCAGTGGATGGGAGGATAGCGGGGCAGGCGGGGGCGGACGAGGTGGAGTACGTGGTGGGCGTGGCGCTGCGCTGCGGTAGGCTGGGTGAAGCACCTGGCAGCAGAGGGCATTCCCCAAAGACCTCAAAAAGCATCGCCTTGTCCTCATCCGCTCTCTCCCCCTTCCCCCACCCGCCTCCACACCCCCCCTTCCTTTCCCCCCCACTCCTTCCCCTCCTCCACCCAGGTGGACATAGTGCGGTGGGTGAAGCGGCTGGCAGCAGAGAACCGACTGGCAGAGGCAATCGATGGGCGGATAGCGGGGCAGGCGGGGGCGGACGAGGTGGAGTACGTGGTGGGCGTGGCGCTGCGCTGCGTGGACGGCAACGCTCTCAAGCGCCCCCGCATGCGCCAGGTCGTGGCCATGCTGGAGACAGAGGACCCCACGCTGGTGAGACGGGGTGGTACAGTTCGGTGGGGATGGGTTAGTCGCAGGGATGGGTGGGGTCAGGTTAGCACATGGTTGGCCCCTCCCCGTAACACTACGCTCAGTCCTCTCTCCTCTCCCCACCCCACCCTACGTATACTCGCTCTTCTCCCATCACCCTCCTTCCCCCAATCAACCACCACCACCCACCCTTCTGCCCCTCCCTCCCCCCCACCCTCCACCACGACAGAGAGACGGCTGGGTGGCGCGGCGGCCAACCATGCTGTCCTCACGCTCCATGCGAGACCACAGCCCCACATGGCACATGCCGCACTCCGCCTCCCACTCCTCCTCCCCCTCCGCCGCCTTCTCCCGCGCCAGCCCGCACGCCCACAACACCTACAGCCCGCACTACCTGCAGCACCTGCAGCAGCAACAACAACAACAGCAGCAGCACCACTACCACCACCAATACCACTCCTCCAACACTCCGACTTCGGCGCCGCACCCCTACCGCTCCGCCTCCTCCTCTGCCTCGCGCGGGCCCCTATCAGCCAGCCCACGGCAGTATATTGGGGTGGGCGTTGGCCTTAGCTCCACCAGTCCCTCTGCCCCCGATGTTGCCGGTATGATTGCCTCGGCTGCGCTTAAAGCAGGCGGGATGGTGCCAGTGGGGGGTGTGAGTGCCACAAGCAGCAGCAGCAGCCCGGGTGGAGTGGGGTACGGTGGGGGAGGCATTGTGGGGGGTAGTCCAGGGAAATACAGCAGCCCTGGAGGGAAATATAACAGTCCCGGGAAATACGGAAGCCCTGGGAAGTACGGGAGTCCTGGTAGCGCAACTGGCAGTATGTCCAGTGCTGCTGCTGCCGCTGCCGCTGCTGGTGCTGGTGCTGCGGGCACGTACTCTCCAGCTGCCCTTATACCTGTGCATGCTGGGCTGCGCACGAGCGGTGCCAGCCCTACAGCTGGATCTCTCGGTAGTGGTAGCGCTACTGGCAATAGCCCCTCTGCAAGGACGCTAGCAGGGTTAGGAGGAGGAGGCACGGGGGCTAGTCCTGGGAGTGGCACTGGCAGTGCGAGTATGTACACTGGTAGGAGTCCCAGGAGGTTTGATGGGGGTGTGGGGCGGAGTGGTGGTGGGGAGGGTGGGTGGGGAGCAGGTGAGGTGAGCGGCGAGGGGATTATTCAAAGCCATGCCATGAGCATAACGAAGCCAAGGGTGCTTGGTAGTGGATGGAGGAAGTGATGAGATAATTTGATGTTACTTGAAGCATTCTATTTGTGATGATTCTTCAGTGACCCAATTATTTTGTTGTAGTGCATCCCTGTCCCAACAAAGTAGCGCATGACAAGGCATGATAGGAAGCATGGGAAATATTGGAGTGCATGATCAAATGGGATGCGCTGGCTAGCTAAACAATTCTCCATTTTTCTTGCAGATGTTCCTTTTTTCTCTATATGAGGATCCGAGTACACCTGTGTCTTATTTCCCGTGCTAGCTCGGCAAAGGCAAACCTTCAGAATCCACCGCAACGCGGGGCGAATGAGCAGGAAGGAATACAGCCCCCAGCCCCAGTCAAACCGGGTCAACCCTTCCCCTAGCCCGCCACGTGGGGATTAGCGAGGCAAAGTCCCGCTTGCGTCGCATTTCCCCCATTTCCCGCATGACCTGACCACCACCTTGCCGTGCCGAGTGTATTACCCGCCCCCCAACACTCGTACGCGCGGAGGGGATGTTCGCGCACACGATGCAGTAGTTTCTGCGCCTCTTGACGGATGGTTGTATTTGCTGCAAGCCGTAGGGAGTGGGGGAAGCGGAACGACTTTCGTCGCATCCCCCAGCCGGACCTGCCTGCCCGCACGCAGATTGTCAAGCTCAGCCACGCAACGCAAGCCTCATCTCCCCCTCGACCTTTCCCCTTCCTGACTCCCCTCCAACCCTTCCCCTTTCCCCGAACCCCTTCCTTTCCCCCTCGCGTCCTTCCCTTAAACGCAAATAATTGTGTCATGCCTGCTGTGCTATCTTGTGTCAACGAGATTCGTCACCCCTCGTGTTCAAACTCCCATCCACTCCACATCGAACGTCGTCACTCAAAACCAGCACCAGCAAACCACACCGCCGAATTCCACGTTCCCCTTCGTCGCCTCTCTTTACAGTGTTCTCTCAAGCTCCCTCTCTGTGACTGTTCCCTCTTCCACGCTGTGCATTTTCGCACGGAGAAACCGCTCAAGCTTCCACCTTTGGTAGTTTACTTCGTTTCTCTTCTCCCATACGGCAAGATAAAGCTATCTTTACCGCTACTTGATACGAATCTACTGGATTTCCTGGCTATTGAGGCGCCCAAAAGGCGCGAACATTATCCCGTTTTCAGTCTCCGGACCCTCTGGTTGCCGCAACTTTACCGACCGCAACAGCCGATTCAGCCTCAAATATCGGCCATGGCACGACGAGCGTGCGCTTCGTTACAGTCCGCCAGTCACGTCGCGCTTCTCCTCGCCGTCCTTGTCGGCGGGATGTGCGGCGGCCGCGCACAATACAATGATTATTTTGACCCTTCCCAAGGTCTCCCCATCAGCGCAACACTTGCGTTATTGCCCTGCCTGATGCTTCATATCATTCGTTTGAGAATATTACAATCTCACCCCGCCGTTATTTATCCCTTCACCGCCACAATAGTACTTCCTCGCACCGCACCGCACTCCACCGTCCTATCCAAGCCACCTCTCACCCGAGCAACCACCGCTCACCTCTCCCACTCACACATACACACGCTCTCTCTTCCTCACTCCCACGCTCACTTTCACTTCCATTATCCACTTATTTCCTACTCATCGCCCTTGTGCGTGTTTCCAGATGCTGTCCTTTACGAGCTAAAAAGTCAGAATATGGCGGACTTGGGGCCAGAAGTAACATGGGACCAGGACGGCATGCTCACATCCCTGTACGCCCGCGCTTCAAGCGTGAAGAAGTTCTTCCTCCCTTCCCACCCAGTACCCTCAGTCCAGCCCGCCCTAGGGGTCTCCACAGCCCTCTGATGCCATTCTCGTGCCGCTCTTCCCTCTTCCATCCCCCTTCGTCCCTCGTCCTTCGTCCCTCGTCCCTCGTCCCTCGTCCTTCATCCCTCTTCGTTTTTCAATCTTCGCTCCTCCCTCCTGCCTCCTTTTCCCGCGCCTCCTTCGCTCGTCTCACTTCGTTCTGCTGCCGTTACCCTGCCTCTGCACCACCCTCCACATCCCGTCTCCTCATTTGCACCCACCTCCTTCTTGCCTTCAGCTCCTCCTCTACCATTCGTTCTTTACTTCCTTACCCCCTCTCATTGTTTTACCTCTTCTTCCTTCCTCCCTCCCTCCCTCTCTCTCTCCCTCCCTCTCTCCCTCCCTCCCTCCCTCCCTCCCTCCCTCCCTCCCTCCCTCCCTCCCTCCCTCCCTCCCTCCCTCCCTCCCTCCCTCCCTCCCTCCCTCCCTCCCTCCCACCCTCCCTCCCTCCCTCCCTCTCCTCCCTCCCACCCTCCCTCCCTCCCTCCCTCCCTCCCTCCCTCCCTCCCTCCCTCCCTCCCTCCCTCCCTCCCTCCCTCCCTCCCTCCCTCCCTCCCTCCCTCCCTCCCTCCCTCCCTCCCTCCCTCTCCCCCGCCCTCCTGTCTTGGGTCCGGGGAACCACGGCAGCAACTGGCATGATATTCCTCTGAGGACGTCCATCCCCGAGAGCATCAGCGCCCTCTCACGCCTCACTCTGCTGTGAGTGCTCACTGTCGCACGACTGCACTGCAGCCGCACGCACGGCACGAGTAGCACGATGCGAGTGACCGGACGGGGAAATACAGGAAGGGCACATGGATGACCGGAGGGGGGATGTGAGGGGGACAAGGAATGGAGGAGGAGAATGGTGTTGTGCGGGTTAAGTAGAGCTGAGGAGAGTGGAGGAAAAGGAGACGTGGGAAAAAGCACCTGGTGCTTCCATTGCGAGTTTCCTTCCTCTGTGTCTCTGTACGCATCTGTCCGTGCATGTGCGTTCATGTGCGTGTGCGTGCATGTGCGTGCATGTGCGTGCATGTGCGTGCATGTCCGTGCATGTGCGTGCATGTCTGTGCATGTGTAGACAGTTGCTGCATGCTACTACTACTTTCTTACCGGCCATTCTTCCCCTCCCACCCTTCTCACCCTCCCCTTCTCTCCACCCAACACCACCTTCAATTCCCGTTCCTCCTCCATTCCCTTCCTCTCTCCTTCGCTCTCCACTCCCCTCATCTCCACTCTGCTCGTCCCCTCTACCACTACACCCCACACCCCCCCTCAGAGACCTGGGCAACACACGGCTGTATGGATCCCTACCCAGCATCATGAGCACTCTATCCACCTTACAGGACCTGTCAGTGCCATTGCCTCCCCTACCCTCGCTCCCCCTCGCCTTGCCCTTCCTCATCGTCTCGCCTCGCCCTGTCACCTCCCACTGTGCCTCACCACCATTACCTGCTTTGTCCCCGTTATTGTGTGCCAGCCGCCCCAACACTCACTCTTCCACACCGCAAATGAGACCACTTCTGTTCTTCTTCTTCTCCCTCTCCTTCGTACATTTGCGATCCGTACTACTGCGTCTGTTTTTTTTTTTTTTTTTTTTTTTGCTGTTCCGCTCCCCCCCGCCCTTTCACCTCTCCCATCAAGATCTGATGCTCCTCTTTTAGCCCTCATCACCCATCCATCCCTCCGCCCTTCTCCTCTCACACACGTCCCAATGGCTGCCGCAACGTTCCCAACTCCCCACTTTCTCCCTAACACTGCCCTGCCGCATGGCGCTATTTCAGGACTCTGGGACGCAACTCTATTTCTGACGTGCTTCAAGAGTCCATTTCCCCCTCCTCCCCAACACCGCACCCCTTGAACCGCGCTGCCCCACTGTGCCGTTGCAGGAGCCTGGGAAACAACTTTCTCACAGGGAGCATTCCTGCATGGGTCGCCAACTTGACGGCACTCACGGCTCTGTAACTAACTACTGCGCCCTACTCCTGTCCTGCCATACCCTGCCCTGCCCTGCCCACGCCCTGCCATGCCCTTCCCTGCTCTGCCTTGCCCCTCAATGCCGTGCCCTTCCCTGCCTTATCCTGCCGTGCCCCGCCCGGCCCGCCCGTCTCATCACAATGATTCACGAATGTGCTGAAATCCTTGATTCTTTTTCACATCGCCGATGCGGAAACCGCCCTGTCGCCTCTTTCTTCTCACAAAGTGAAGTGAGCGTCGATACGTCAGTACTCGGTCAAACACTGTGGGAAGAATGGATCAACGATGTTCGCACTGCAACTCTTATGGCTTCCCTATAGCCATGATTGTATTGCAATTGTGCCTTTGGCCCACTGCCTGTTGCCCAAAGCGTCACCCATTACTGCTGCACTTCTTCTCCCTCCTCTCTCTCCTCTCTCTCCTCTCTCTCCTCTCTCTCCTCTCCCTCCTCTCCCTCCTCTCTCTCCTCTCCCTCCTCTCCCTACTCTCCCTCCTCTTCCTCCTCTTGCTCCTCTCGCTCCTCTCCCTCATCTCCCTCCTATCCCTCCTCTCCCTCCTCTCTCTCCTCTCCCTCCTCTCCCTCCTTTCCCTCCTCTCCCTCCTCTCTCTCCTCCCCCTCCTCTCTCTCCTCTCTCTCCTCTCCCTCCTCTCTCTCCTCTCTCTCCTCTCCCTCCTCTCCCTACTCTCCCTCCTCTCCCTCCTCTCCCTCCTCCCCCTCCTATCCCTCCTCTCCCTCCTCTCTCTCCTCTCTCTCCTCTCTCTCCTCTCTCTCCTCTCCCTCCTCTCTCTCCTCTCCCTCCTCTCTCTCCTCTCTCTCCTCTCCCTCCTCTCTCTCCTCTCTCTCCTCTCCCTCCTCTCTCTCCTCTCCCTCCTCTCTCTCCTCTCCCTCCTCTCTCTCCTCTCCCTCCTCTCTCTCCTCTCTCTCCTCTCCCTCCTCTCTCTCCTCTCTCTCCTCTCCCTCCTCTCTCTCCTCTCCCTCCTCTCTCTCCTCTCCCTCCTCTCTCTCCTCTCCCTCCTCTCTCTCCTCTCTCTCCTCTCCCTCCTCTCTCTCCTCTCTCTCCTCTCCCTCCTCTCTCTCCTCTCCCTCCTCTCCTCAGGCGGCTGGACAAGAATGGGTTCAAAGGCAGCCTGCAATCGAGTCTAGTCGCACTGTCCATTGCCCAAGCGGTCACCAATTACTCTCCACATCCCTTCCCTCCTATCCCTCCTCTCTCTCCTCTCCTTCCTCGAATGGTCCTTTCTTCCCCTCCTCGCCCTCCACCGACGGCCCATCACACGGTGCGGTGCCATGCCAGGCAGCTGGACAGGAACGAGTTCACTGGCGTCGTGCCATCAGAGCTAGCCACACTCACCAACCTGCGCACTCTGTCAGTCGCTGTGTGCCTGGGGGGAGTGGTGGTTGCATGGTGGGGGGGGGGGGAGGAGGGGGTTGGTGGATGCGTGTGGGGAGTGGTGGATGCGTGTGGGGAGTGGTGGATGCATGGGTGCACTACATTTTTCGAGCATGTTTATGCGGCACTCACTGTATGCTCCATCGTTCAACCAGCTGGCAGAATGTTCACTCTGATTGCCTGCTGTGCTACCCTCATCATGCACATCCCATGATGACATATTCTGGAATGATAGCCATGCCATGCTGCCTTATCCTTATGCCATCCTATGCCATGCCATGCCATGCCATGCCATGCCATCTCATGCCATGCCATCTCATGCCATGCCATCTCATGCCATGCCATGCAGGAGGCTGGGATTCAACGGCATCACAGGGCAACTACCTGATGCCTTCAGCGCCCTCACCAACCTCAACACATTGTCAGTGCCCACTGCGCTCCCACGTACTCTGCTCCACACTCTCCCCTCACTCCCCTCACTCCCCTCACTCCCCTCACTCCCCTCACTCCCCTCATTCCCCTCATTCCCCTAACCCCCTCACTCCAATCTCTTTCACTGCCTGTACAGCCAGGGCAAGCAGCACCGTCTGATCCCAAATCAAACCACACCTTTCCATCACCCCAGCCCAGACCCAGTACCCATCTCTCTCCCTCCCTCTCCCCCCCCATATCCTCCCCTCCCACCCCACTTGCACTGCTTGCAGAGGACTAGCGGAGACGCAGCTGTCAGGCTCAGTGCCAGGCATCTCTCGCATGACATCCCTCACCGAACTCCACCTGTAAGCCACCCGCCTGCCTGCCTGCTGCCTGCCTGCCTGTGAACTCTTTTAAGGTCAAGTTATTCATACCCCCCCGAAAAGCGGAATCACTTACTTGAAAACTCTTCTAAAAACGCTCAGCTTGCTGCAGTTGAAGTCCTTTGAACCCCTCCAATCTTTCAAGCTCTCGTTCTCCCTCATCCCCAACCTTAACCTGAATGTGTCACTGAACAATTGCTGCAAGCATCTTCTCCTAAACGATGGTGACACCTGGATTCAAGCATCTGCTCCTTGACCCTGCGCCCTGTCCTAAACTGCAAAGACCGACCCACTCTCTACCATTAGTAGCCTAGCTAGCTTTTCCTCCGTGTCTCCTGGCTGCATGCATGGTGTGCGTGCATGCATGGTGTGCGTGCATGCATGGTGTGCGTGCATGCATGGTGTGCGTGCATGCATGGTGTGCGTGCATGCATGGTGTGCGTGCATGCATGGTGTGCAGGGCAGCGGACATGGATTGCCCCGAGAGCTTTAACGGTTGCTCGGTGAAGTGCTGGGAAGACTTGAGTCGGTGCTTCTCGTTTTGTGGTGCCTGCTTACTTGGTCCGTCCCTCGCTCGTGCTCCCACACACGGCACATTCCAAACACGTGCCTCACATCTGACACCACACATCTCACATCGCACATCACACATTGCTTGCGTTGCACTGCACTGCGCTCTGAGGGGCTGCGCACCACTGCCACGCATGCGCACCTCTTGCGCACCTCTTGCACACCCTCTGCACATTGCTTCTTTCCACTCCTCTTGAGGCGCATTCACAAGCAAGTGCCGCAATTTCAGCCCACCTCACCTCACCTCATCTCACCTCACCTCACCTCACCTCACCTCACCTCACCTCATCTCTCCTCAACTCACCTCACCTCAACCTGCACTCTTTCCCCCTTCCCCAACCCCCTCCCATCTGCTCCCCTCATGCCCAACCCCACCTCCTCCAGGCCGTATATTTAATCCCAACCCATCTCCCGATCCATCCCCTACTCCTCCTCCTATTCCTCCTCTTATTCCTCCTACTCCTCCCTCCACGCCCACGCCCATCACATCTCCTCCTTCATCATCCCCTCCCTCCGCCGCGTCCCCCTCCATCATATCGCCAGCCCCACCCAGCTCATCACCTCCCAGTGCTCCACCCGCGCCTGCAAGCGATGGGTCACCCGCGCCTGCAAGTAATGAATCACCCGCACCTGCAAGCGCAGAGGCATCGGCGCCTGCAAGTGATGAAGCACCCGGCTCTCAAGAACCCAGCCCGCAACCACCCTCCCCTTCCCCGGGCCTGCCACAGTCTCCTGCTCCTCCATCCGCCCCTCCCACTGCGTCTCCCCTGCCCCCTAACCTCCCTCCAGACAGTGCCCCCGCGCCTGGTCCTCCTGTCTCGGCCTCTGGTGAATCGGATAATAGCAGCAGCGGCATGAGCAACAGCAGCAGCAGCAGCAGCAGTGGTGGGAGTGGTGGCAGCAACAGTGGGTTGTCAACGGGTGCGATTGTGGGGCTGGCTGCTGCGTGCGCGTGCTTGGTGGTGGCTCTGGTGCTGCTGGTGCTGCTGCTGGTGCACAGGAGCAAGAAGAGAGGAGCCAAGCAGAATGCGTCTCATGGTACGTTTCATGAGGCATGCGAATGTGCATGTGCATGTGCAGCAAGTGATGCTTCATCAACCTCACTTGAGACCTATCATATCCTTCCAGAGACATCCATCCACCCGGGATTGCCCAACACAATATCCCTTCACTCCACACTTCATTCCCCACACCTCCATTTCGCACCCAATCTTCTCACATCAACCACCCTCGTTACTCAATTCCCTCTCAAACCCCACACCGCACCACCCCTCACCTCCCCCTTCTCCCAATTCTTCCCACACACCCTCCCCCCCACTCCCCCAAACAGCAATCTCACCAGTAACCTCTGCAGCAGGCGCCGCCGCAGCAGCAGCAGCGGGAGCAGCAGCAGCAGCATCAGCAGCGGCAGCAGCACACGCATCACCAGAGAGGCCGATCCGAGAGCTGACAATGGGGGAGGTGAAGGTGGCAACAGATAACTGGGCGAGAAGCGGCCGCATGGTCACACGAGGCTCGTTTGATGTGTACCGCGGGTTTGACCCCAGCAACCCTGCTGTGCCGTGGGCCGTGTGTCGCGCTCGCGTGCTCAGCAACACGTTCCGGCAATCGGTAAGGACGCCTGCCGATGCAGCCCTCTGTCTGTCTTTTTTTCCTGTGCTATATACCAACACGCTCCGTTAGTTGGCGCACGCGCACCTTTCCGCACCACAGCCCTTTGTGTTTGTGTGTGCAGAGGTAGAACGTCTTGACCTCGTGTGTGTGTACCGGTGGGGCCAGAGAGATAGACGGACCTCTGGGGTCAGATGTTTGTTTGCCCACGTGGTTGCAGGTAGTTCTTGGTTGTGGTTCTTTCTGGTATTCAGTCAAATCTCCCCTGCTCTTGCGCTCTCCAAACTTGCTGCTCTCTTCTGTAATTATTATGGCACGGCACGGCACGGCACGGAATGGAATGGAATGGAATGGAACGGCATGGCAGGTGGAGCGCATGGGGGCGATGCGGCATGCGAACGTGGTGCGGCTGGTGGGGTTCTGCATGGAAATGACGCCCAGCGCGCTGCAGATGGAGCAGGTCACCGTCTACCCTCTCTTCCCGCACGGCGACCTCGAGAAACGCCTCCGGCCAGGTGGGCAGCTGGATGGGCCTTGAGAGCAACCCCTCAGGAGTCAGGCCAGGTGGTATGGTGGGCTGAAGGACTAGAGAACAACGCCTCCTCTCAGGTGGGACCGTGGGAGGGCAGCCAGGCTTGAGTTGATGCTGCATGCCTAGGTATCACATGGGATCACATGGGTCAGGTTGGGTGGGCTGGGATGAAATGGGTTGCTGTAGCCGTGGTTGGTTGTTTGCCCCACTCCCTCCTCCCGTCTCACCTTCACCACCTCTCACCTTCTCTCCATAACTCCATCTTTCTCTCTCTCGGTATGCAGGCAGCAGCAGCAGTGAGGAGGGCCACGTGCCCCTGAGCCTGGGCGAGAGGGTGGGCATTCTGGCGGGGGTGGCGAGGGGGCTGGAGTTTCTGCATGCGAACGGCATCGTGCACCGCGATGTGAAGCCCTCCAACGTCCTCCTCGATAACCACCTCCAGGTCCGCCCCACTTCCCCCCCTGCTCCCTCCCTCCCTCCCTCCCTCCCTCCCTCCCTCCCTCCCTCCCTCCCTCCCTCCCTCACTCCCTCCCTCTCCCCTTTCTTCTCTCCCTCACTCCCTTCCCCGCTCGCTCACATGTCACCCTAATCCTCCCGTGCTCCAACCAACCTTGATCCTTTTATTTCTGTCGAGAAAGGGGCGCCTGGCATTGCTAACTTGCATGAGTTGATGCTCCACCACTGCCCATCGCGCGCACCCACCCCTTGTTACCCATCCTTCTACACACTCCACCAGTCCTCGTTCCTCTGCTCATGCTCCCTCCTACCCACATGCAGCCAACTAGCATGCCTCGCTCATCCACACTCCCCTACTCGCTCCACCCACCCTCCATATACCTAACCCCATCCCAACGTTCCAACGCCTCAGAAGTCGCCTCATGTCTCCCAACACCTTCCCCCCCACACCTTCCCCCCCACACCTTCCCCCCCACACCTTCCCCCCCACACCTTCCCCCCCACACCTTCCCCCCCACACCTTCCCCCCCACACCTTCCCCCCCACACCTTCCCCCCCACACCTTCCCCCCCACACCTTCCCCCCCACACCTTCCCCCCCACACCTTCCCCCCCACACCTTCCCCACACCTTCCCCACACCTTCCCCGCACCTTCCCCACACCTTCCCCACACCTTTCCAACAGCCCCATATAGCGGACTACGGGTTCATCAAGTCAGCCCAGGAGGGCACGGTAGACAGGGACAGGGCGGTGGGCACACCGGGCTACCTGGATCCTACCTATGCCAAGTCGCTCACTGCTGCACCCTCTGCTGACGTGTACAGGTGTGCTCGGATCAACCAGCTGTCGTCGCATCCATGCGTGTGGCTCTCGTACCTTCACAGTCCGCCTTGTTGGATCTCGTGTTCCCCTTGCTGCGGTTGCTGTGTCATGCCAGTCATGATGCGTCTGCTGCCTGTGCTGCTGTTCCCTTACCTAAATAAGGTGTCTGTGCGTGCGTTTATTTGTTCACGTGTGTGCCTGTCGTGGCTTTCTCATGCTGCAGTTTCGGGGTGGTGATTCTGGAGGTGGTGTCAGGGCACAAGTGCTTCTTCCGGGACGGGGACAGGCTTGTACCCCTCCCTCAGTGGGTGAGTGTCGCAGTGTCGTGTCAGTCAGTGAGTGCCATGCTCGTCACAATACATGCATGCTTCTGAGTGTTGTGGTGTGTGTGAGCGGCATGCGTGTCACAATACATGCATGCTTCTGAGTGAGCCCCGCCCTGCTCAACCGGGATACCACCTGTGCGGTCATCGATACATGGTAGTTGCCCCCTGCTTGCGTCGCCCCGATGCACGACCACCACCGTGATCACCACCATCACCGCCACCACCACCTCTAAGAAAAACAGCAGCAATTATGCTTGCGGGTTACCCCAGTAAGCATCTGTCCCTCCCATCGCCACATCTGTCTATCCCCTCCCTCCCTACCCTTCCACCTTCCCCATTCCACATCCAACCGCCTGCCCACATCCTCACAGGCAGCCCAAAAGGTGGACCGTAACACCATCATTGAGTTGAGTGACAGAAGTCATTTTTTTAGGCGCCTCAAATATGTACCCTCCCTGTGCCCGCCCACACCTTCACAGGCATCCCAAAAGGTGGACAGTAACGCACTCATGGAGGTGTGTGAGGCGTCTCTACACATCCCCACGGACACAGCACAGGACCTCGTGCTGCTTGCCCTGCGCTGCACCGCCATTGCTCCGGACCTGCGTCCCACCATGGCCGAAGTGGCGCGGGAATTGGAGGTGCTGTTGGAGCGGTGCAGAGCGGTGCAGATGGGAGGGGAGAGGGACCATGCGGTGGTGGATGTTGAGGAAGAGCAGGAAGGTGATGCTGGCGAGGACAGGAGATGATTGCCAGCAGTGCTGTTGATCCTCACGGTAGTGGTTGATGGTTATGAGACCTGAATAGCTTGAAGGGGGTTCGTGGTTGTTGGGTATAACACTGGGTTTCCTGCTGCTGTGATCAAAGAGTAGTGACAGAGATTCACATCCTGTGAATCATGACCCTGGGAGATGTATCATTTACGGTGTAAGCCTTTACAGATAATATGATTCTGTGTTATTCACACAACCTAATTCTTATCCGGTTTTCTGAGTGTGCATTACCAGCTTTCATCTCTCCTCCCGAATAGCTGAGAGCATAGGGCTAACAAGTGTGCACCCCTAATGGTGCAATAAAAAGTTGCTTGCAGGTAATTGTGGATCTAACAATCTCAACCATTTGTGCAAATAAAAGAGAGGGTAAAGGGGGGAGGGAATAGGGGAGAGGGAGGAGGGAAATGGAGGAGGAGGTAGAGAGCGGGGGGTGGGGGGGAGGGAGGAAGAAGGGGTAGTGGGGGGGAGACGGGTGGGGGAGGAAGAAGGGGTAGTGGGGTGTCAGAGGTCCACTGGTGATCCCCAATCAATCCTAGGGAAGGGTTACAGGCTCGTTGTCCTAGGGGGTTATGGGCGCACTAATCCGCTTTTTTATCCCAGTGGTTAGTGGCTGGGATTCTGACATGGGGGGAGGGGGGGAGATGGGACCGAACCCTGAAACCATACTGGATGTGGGATCTTAACCATGGGGGATGCATGTTAGAGTATGGAAACATGCATTTTGAGGTTCACTAACTGTTAAGGGCCATTGGCCATTTCTCATGATTAGAAAAAAAACAACTATAGACTTACCCATCAATTTTTTAGTCGTAGTGTACAACATCGCGATCCTCATGTTCTTCCCAGACTTTCAATGACCTGGCCAGCAGGGAAGCTCCAGAACAGCGAGGCATTGCCTTCCCGGCTGACCAGGATGGAGATAACAGCCAGCCAGAGTGGAAAGCAGTCAAACCAGTCAAGTCGCACTATGCCCGGCGTGTTCATCGCATTTCGGACTCGACCCCAGGTCCCAGTACGCACCTTCGTGATTGCGCTTTCCAAGTGATTTCGTACCAGCGAAACAAAGCTCCTCCGAGTAACACGCTCCAGCTGTCATCAAGCTGACACACAACACACATTCTGCCTTGAGAACACTCCTTCCACGTCTCCCTTTCGGTCTGCATATCCCCGAACTTGTATTACTGTACTCTCAAGGGAAGCCTCTTGTAAACATTTAGGTTGCAATGCTACGTTGCCACCATTTTCACAAGCTGCAATCACACAATTCTCGTCCTCGGCACTTTCTAGCAAAGAATCCATGGACCGGCGAAGGACAGCTCTGCTTCTGCGGCTCGCTGTTTTAGGCATCTTGCTCCTCCACGCGACTACGCAAGGCGAAGCATCGTCTTGCAACAACACTACACAAAGTCAGTTAGTTCTCAAATTCCGTTACCTCTCCAAGTCTGGGTTTCCTAGAAACCTCAGGTACTTTTTCGACGCTTCCTAGATATCTTTCCGACGGAATTTTGGAGCACCTCTCGTGGTTATTTCTAGAAGTGAGAAGCGTCGTTGCATCACTGTCCGTCCCCTTTTGGACCTTCGTCTTCTCCGACACGTTCCTGACTCGCTGTATTCCTCTCCACCGCTCTCCCATCCTTCATAACGCTTCTTCCCTCGCCCTCTCCCCACTCCCTCACTCCCTCCCTCACTCCCTCCCTCCCTCACTCCCTCCCTCCCTCCCTCCCTCCCTCCCTCCCTCCCTCCCTCCCTCCCTCCCTCCCTCCCTCCCTCCCTCCCTCCCTCCCTCCCTCCCTCTCTCCCTCCCTCCCTCCCTCCCTCCCTCCCTCCCTCCCTCCCTCCCTCCCTCCCTCCCTCCCTCCCTCCCTCCCTCCCTCCCTCCCTCCCTCCCTCCCTCCCTCCCTCCCTCCCTTACCCTCCCTCTTCCCATGTCCCCCCCGTGTGTTCCTCGCAGCGTACGTGCTCGGCCAGCTGCAATGGAGCAGAATAGAGTGCGACGCGAACGGCAATGTTGTCAATATGTGCGTCTCCGCGCCTTCTCGTCTTCTCGTCTTCTCGTATTCTCGTCTTCTCGTATTCTCGTCTTCTCGTCTTCTCGTATTCTCGTCTTCTCGTATTCTCGTCTTCTCGTCTTCTCGTATTCTCGTCTTCTCGTATTCTCGTCTTCTCGTCTTCTCGTCTTCTCGTCTTCCCCTTTCTCTCCACGAGCGTGCCCCTGTTTTGACATCCATGCGTTTCACTTGGAGCTGTCTCCGTGTGCATCCATGCCATGTCATGTCATGCCCTGCCGTGCTGTGCCATGGTTGTACAGAAGTATGAACGGTCAAGGGCTGAGCGGTCCCATTCCGGATTCTCTAAGCGTCTTGAACACCCTTACGTCTCTGTGAGTGCCCTTCGTGTTGTTTCATCCAGCCCCTGAACAAACACATGCACACATGCGCACATGCGCACACAGACGCAGACGCACACGCGCACACACACATGCACACACACATGCACACACACATACACACAGAACACACAAGCGCACACATACGCACGCACGCACTCTCGCACACACACACACACACACACACGCACACGCACGCACACACGTTACAAAGAGCAGACACACACGCATGCGCACACACATGTTGCCCTTCTTTTTTCTCTCTCTCAACACTGAAGGAAGTGCAAGCGTGTGTGAAGGGCAATTATTGGCGAACTAACCTCAAATTGCCGTTTTGACAACCTCCTCCCTCTCTTCTCTCCCCGCTCCCCCTCCACCCCTCTCTTCCAACCCCTTCATCCCCCCTCTTCTTCCCACCCGCCTTCCATATGGGCATGCAGTGAACTCCGTAACAACAGTTTAAATGGCAGCATCCCGTCCTTCTTCACCAGTTTCAGCGCCCTCCAAATCCTGTGAGAATGGGCTCTTCCTCTTCTTTTCTCATCTCGCCGCACCTCGCCTCGCCGCACCTCGCCTCGCACCTCGCCTCACCTCACCTTGTCTCGTATCGTCCCATCCCGTCCCGTCCCGTCCCGTCCCTCGCACCCCATTCCATCCCATCCCATTCCATCTCACCTCACCTCACCTCATCCCACCCCATTTCATGTCAACTAATTTCATCTCACCTCACCTTGCCTCACCTGGAACCGCTTCACCTCACCTCATCTAACCTCACCTCACCTCGCCTAACCTCACTCACCACTTCACCTGACCTCACCTGACCTGATCTCACCTCACCTCACTTCACCCCACCTCATCTCACCTCACCTCACCTCACCTCACCGCATCTCATGTCATCTATCTTGTCTCGGTCCATCTTGCATGTGCTACGTATAGCGAATCATCAAATGCTCTTCTCCAGCCGCTCTTAATCAATCCTCAGTGCCGCATCATCCTCTGCTCTGCTCCCCCCTGTTAGAAACCGCTTTCATGGGCCTTACTCTTCACGAATCCCTCTCTCTCTCGTCCTCAATCAACGCTCTACTAATCTACTAACTCCTTCGTTTTCAATGCCTACACCCAGCTGCATCCTCGTGCATTCTCCGTGCCCTCCCTCTTCTTTTCACATCTCACCACATTAAACCTCGCTGGACCTCATCCACCCTCGTGTAACCTCATCTGACAACACCCAGCTTGAAAATTTTCTGTCTAACCGCACGTACCCCTGGAGCCAACCTCATCTACCCCCCTGCCCTCTTCCCACTCTCTTCTGTGTTCGCAGGGCTTTGGGGTCAAACAGCTTGACGGAGTTCACAGCCGCCAATCTTCCAACAAGCCTGAGGCTCTTGTGAGATTCCCTTGCCAGCTGCACAGCCCTTGTGCCCCATTGCCATAGGGTATGGTTTCCCACACATCACAATCGTATGCTTGGTGAACTCTCCCTCTCTCCCTTGTTTCTGCATGTGTGTGTGTGTGTGTGTGTGTGTGTGTGTGTGTGTGTGTGTGTGTGTGTGTGTGTGTGTGTGTGTGTCCATGTGGCACAGGGGCTTGGCAAAAAACAAGTTCAATATGCCCATTCCAACGGACATCGGGAGGTTCTCTCTCCTCACCGCCCTGTGAGGCCACTGCCCTTGTTTTGCTGACCTGTTTTGAGGCGCCTAAAAAATTTCTAAGCGCCTCAAACATCTGGAGCTTGTCCCGCCTCACCTTCCTGTGAGCCACTGTCCTTGTTCCGGTAACCCAACCCCCCCTGTTCTGTCTGTCCCCCCTCCCTCTTCCTCTCCACTCTATCCCCCCCCATTCGCGCATCTCCACACTCCCATGACTCTGGTATGCTCAGCAGCCAGGTCTTTACGACGGGTCTTCCTGTGCAAGCAACTTGCCATCTCCCTATGCCATCCGACCTCTATGCTGTATCTACCTACCACCGTTCATGTGCTGGCTGGCAATCCCTTGTTGACCCAGTGTGTGACCCTCTCTCACCTGCAGCCCTCTGACCCGCCTCCTCCCCCCCCCCCCCTCCTCCTCCTCCTCCTCCTCCTCCTCCTCCTCCTCCTCCTCCTCCTCCTCCTCCTCCTCCTCCTCCTCCTCCTCCTCCTCCTCCTCCTCCTCCTCCCCCTCCTCCTCCTCGTGCTCGTGGCCTGGTCCTCTGGTTGGCCCGGCCGTGTGGGTGGGTGGGTGTGTGGCATGGCAGGTACTTGAGCTCGAGCAACCTGATTGATCCTATTCCGAGCAGCATAAGTAACCTTACCAGCCTTCAGGCATTGTACGGTCACATGATTTCCTCTCATGCAGTGCGCATAGAACCCCATGCAAGCCTCATGTACTCCCCCCTCCCTCCCTCCCTCCGTGCACGCAGCGCAAGCTGCTGCACATCGCATGCCCGCCTTTCAGCCTTCTCACTTCCTCGTCGTGCTACTGCTCTGCTCTCTTTGTCCCTCACGCTTCGTATGCATGAGGGAGAAAGAGAGCAGTAGCTCCTCAAGCAAAGGCAGAGCAATGGTGGCACGTGCAGGGCAATGGTGGCACGTGCAGGGCAATGGTGGCACGTGCAGGGCAATGGTGGCACGTGCAGGGCAATGGTGGCACGTGCAGGGCAATGGTGGCACGTGCAGGGCAATGGTGGCACGTGCAGGGCAATGGTGGCACGTGCAGGGCAATGGTGGCACGTGCAGGGCAATGGTGGCACGTGCAGGGCAATGGTGGCACGTGCAGGGCAGGCAATCCCATGCAGGCAGGCAGGCAAAGCCAAGTCACCACCATTGGAACCAACCAGCTGTGCTTCTTTGAGAATTTTCAACATCCCACTGGATACACTCAGCAACACCACCAAATCGAATCTAATCATCAGCACCACCACCATGCACAGGCCATTTGTTCGTGACTATGTATGTATCACCCACCCAAACACACACCCACCTCGCATCCCCCTCCTCCACTGTTCTTACCCTCCCACTCCCACCCACCCTCGCTAACTCAGGGCCCTGTCAAACAACCAGCTCTCAGGACCCATCCCTCGGGAAATTGGTGACTTTTGAGTCGACTCAAAACCCACCCACCCTCGCTTCCGCAGGGACCTGTCATACAACAAGCTCTCAGGAAACATCCCTCGGGAAATTTCCAGCGTGACTAGCCTCTTGCACCTGTAAGGCCACTTTGAGGCACCCTGGAACCAGGGATGTGGAACGTGAGTAGGGTAGAATTTGTTTTTTTTTGAGATTTCTAGAAAAAACAGTAGCGCTATGGGAGACGTACTTACAGATGGTGAGATGAGAAGACTCTTTTGAGTCGACTCATAAGTCACTCTGCTCTGCGGTAGAACGTGAGCAGGCAGCAGGAGAGTTGCTACTTGGGGACCTAACCAAACAGTTAGTGAGAACCACTGTGCCTCCTCAGCTGGCTTTGCTATGAGGTGGTGCTAGTATGGTTTAGCATGTGGTGTGGGCAAGTGTGCGAGTGAAGTGAATTTGCACCGTCAGCTATTGTGGTTTGACTATGCAGGTACGGGCTCTTAGCAGGGCAATGACGAGCTAGTCGATATTGCTGTTGTTGTTTCTTTGTTTGTTTGTTTGTTTTTTTTTTTAATTATTTTACGTTTCTTTCTTCTTTCTTTCTTTCTTGGTCCCTTTGCTGCTCTCTGCATCGGTGCGGCTTTTGAGAGTTCCCAAAAGACTCAAATTCAACTGCGTTGCGTTCCTCCCACCCCCTGCATCTGTATGTGCCGTCAGGGACCTCTCACACAACCAGCTCTCAGATTCCATCCCTTCAGAGATTGTCAATGCGGCCAGCCTCTCCTACCTGTAAGGATCGCGCTGCTCTCTCTTTCCGTGGCGTGTGCACGTCTGCTCTTGTCTGCATGCGTATCTGTTGTTTAAAAAATGGATTTGATCGCAGCAAGCCAAGTTCGCTCGTGTCTAGATCTAAATGGATCTAACCAGTTTGAACTCGGAGAGCAAAAAAGCGAGTAGTAGAGAGATTTAGTAAGTCAGTCGGTAAGACAGAACATTGCTAAGGACGTTCGTGCGAACATGTTTCGGCAACTAAGCCTGCATCAGCGCAGTGTTGAGACGCCGGCTCCAAGGGAAGTGAAATGTGAGGAGGGGAGCTCCGAGCTCCCATGCGAGATGCAACGAAAGGTAGTGAGAGCCACTGTTCCTCCACGGCGAGGTGGATGCTTGCTGTGAAGAGGGTATGTGGCAAGTCAAGCATGTGATGTGGATGGGCGCATGTGATCTGGATGGGCGCATGTGATGTGGATGGGGAAAGTGGGGGAGTGAAGTGAGTGAGATGCTGAGGGTGCGATTGGGGTATGAGGTAATGGATGGAAGACGGAGGGAATTGTGGATGTGCGTGGTGAGTGGGCATGCGTGTTGAACGGGCATGGGATGGTGAATCCGCACCATGGCATGGCATGGCACCGTCACAGCTATTCTGGTCAGACTAGGCAGTCAAGGACTACTAGCAGGGCAGTTGGCAAGAGTACGACACCACTAGATTGTTCTGACCCTGCCATAACACCACTCTCCCTGCCTGCCTCTGTCGTAATCGCAACTCTGCTCGTGTCTGCTGTGACCCCACTCTCTGCCCATAACGTGTTATGCGCATGACAGGAACATGAGCTACAACAACATAACTGGGACCATTCCAGGCAGCATGAGCCAGCTGCTGGCTCTCAAGGACCTGTATGCCCACCCCGCCACATGCTCCCTCCTTCCCTTACATATCTTCACTCCTTTGCAAAGCCCTGCTCTTATGCGGAAAGGGTCAGATACCTTTAGCACCATACAGTAATAGAGCCATGGGATGTGTTTAGGTGTGTGTGTGGGAGAGGGGGGGAGGGAGGGTATGGAGAAAAGGGGAGGGGTTGAGTGCATCACCCACCTTGCATCTCTCAATGCACTTCCCTCAGCGTTGGTTCAGTTTTTGAGAGTTCTCAGAAGCAACTCTTTGTGAAGTTGACCCCAATATGAATTTGCTACTCCCCCTGCTACTATCTGTGCCGTCAGGGACCTCTCGCACAACCAGCTCTCAGAAATCCCTCCTGAGATTGGCTCTGCGACCAGCCTCTCCCACCTGTAAGGATCGCGTGCCGTGTGCTTCTCTGCTCGTGTCTGCTTGCGTCCTTGTTTGAAAGGCGGATTCGATCGCAGCATTCCAACTAAGTTTGCTCGTGTCTGGATCTAAATGGATCTAAATGGATCTAAATGGATCTAAATGGATATAACCGGATTCAACTAGGAGAGGGAAAAGCGAGGAGAAGAAAGACTCAGAAGTAAGTCAATCTGTGAGACAAAACATAGCTAGGGATGAGAACGCGTTTCGGCAACTAAGCCTGCATCAGCGCAGTGTTGAGACGCCGGCTCCAAGGGAAGTGAAATGTGAGGAGGGGAGCTCCGAGCTCCCATGCGAGATGCAACCAAAGGTAGTGAGAGCCACTGTGCCTCCTCGGCAAGGTGGATGCTTGCTGTGAAGAGGGTATGTGGCAAGTCAAGCATGTGATGTGGATGGGCGTATGTGATGTGGATGGGCGCATGTGATGTGGATGGGCGCATGTGATGTGGATGGGCGCATGTGATGTGGATGGGCGCATGTGATGTGGATGGGCGCATGTGATGTGGATGGGCGCATGTGATGTGGATGGGCGCATGTGATCTGGATGGTCGCATGTGATCTGGATGGGCGCATGTGATGTGGATGGGCGCATGTGATGTGGATGGGCGCATGTGATCTGGATGGGCGCATGTGATGTGGATGGGCGCATGTGATCTGGATGGGCGCATGTGATGTGGATGGGCGCATGTGATCTGGATGGGCGCATGTGATGTGGATGGGGGCATGTGATGTGGATGGGCGCATGTGATGTGGATGGGCGCATGTGATGTGGATGGGCGCATGTGATGTGGATGGGCGCATGTGATGTGGATGGGCGCATGTGATCTGGATGGTCGCATGTGATCTGGATGGGCGCATGTGATCTGGATGGGCGCATGTGATCTGGATGGGCGCATGTGATCTGGATGGGCGCATGTGATCTGGATGGGCGCATGTGATGTGCACGCGTATCTGTTGTTTAAAAAATGGATTTGATCGCAGCAAGCCAAGTTGGCTCGTGTTTAGATCTAAGTGGATCTTACCAGATTGAACTCGGAGAGCAAAAAAGCGAGTAGTAGAGAGATTTAGTAAGTCAGTCGGTAAGACAGAACATTGCTAAGGACGTTCGTGCGAACGCGTTTCGGCAACTAAGCCTGCATCAGCGCAGTGTTGAGACGCCGGCTCCAAGGGAAGTGAAATGTGAGGAGGGGAGCTCCGAGCTCCCGTGCGAGATGCAACCAAAGGTAGTGAGAGGCACTGTGCCTCCTCGGCAAGGTGGATGCTTGCTGTGAAGAGGGTATGTGGCAAGTCAAGCATGTGATGTGGATGGGCGCATGTGATGTGGATGGGGAAAAGGGGGGAGTGAAGTGAGTGAGATGCTGAGAGTGCGATTGGGGTATGATGAGGTCATGGATGGAAGACGGAGGGAATTGTGGATGTGCGTGGTGAGTGGGCATGCGTGTTGAACGGGCATGGGATGGTGAATCCGCACCATGGCATGGCATGGCACCGTCACAGCTATTCTGGTCAGACTAGGCAGTCAAGGACTACTAGCAGGGCAGTTGGCAAGAGTACGACACCACTAGATTGTTCTGACCCTGCCATAACACCACTCTCCCTGCCTGCCTCTGTCGTAATCGCAACTCTGCTCGTGTCTGCTGTGACCCCACTCTCTGCCCATAACGTGTTATGCGCATGACAGGAACATGAGCTACAACAACATAACTGGGACCATTCCAGGCAGCATGAGCCAGCTGCTGGCTCTCAAGGACCTGTATGCCCACCCCGCCACATGCTCCCTCCTTCCCTTACATATCTTCACTCCTTTGCAAAGCCCTGCTCTTATGCGGAAAGGGTCAGATACCTTTAGCACCATACAGTAATAGAGCCATGGGATGTGTTTAGGTGTGTGTGTGGGAGAGGGGGGGAGGGAGGGTATGGAGAAAAGGGGAGGGGTTGAGTGCATCACCCACCTTGCATCTCTCAATGCACTTCCCTCAGCGTTGGTTCAGTTTTTGAGAGTTCTCAGAAGCAACTCTTAGTGAAGTTGACCCCAATATGAATTTGCTACTCCCCCTGCTACTATCTGTGCCGTCAGGGACCTCTCGCACAACCAGCTCTCAGGAATCCCTCCTGAGATTGGCTCTGCGACCAGCCTCTCCTACCTGTAAGGATCGCATGCCGTGTGCTTCTCTGCTCGTGTCTGCTTGCGTCCTTGTTTGAAAGGCGGATTCGATCGCAGCAATCCAACTGAGGTTGCTCGTGTCTGGATCTAAATGGATCTAAATGGATATAACCGGATTCAACTAGGAGAGGGAAAAGCGAGGAGAAGAAAGACTCAGAAGTAAGTCAATCTGTGAGACAAAACATAGCTAGGGATGAGAACGCGTTTCGGCAACTAAGCCTGCATCAGCGCAGTGTTGAGACGCCGGCTCCAAGGGAAGTGAAATGTGAGGAGGGGAGCTCCGAGCTCCCATGCGAGATGCAACCAAAGGTAGTGAGAGCCACTGTGCCTCCTCGGCAAGGTGGATGCTTGCTGTGAAGAGGGTATGTGGCAAGTCAAGCATGTGATGTGGATGGGCGCATGTGATGTGGATGGGCGCATGTGATGTGGATGGGCGCATGTGATCTGGATGGGGAAAAGTGGGGGAGTGAAGTGAGTGAGATGCTGAGAGTGCGATTGGGGTATGATGAAGTTATGGATGGAAGACGGAGGGAATTGTGGATGTGCGTGGTGAGTGGGCAGGCGAGTTGAGCGGGCATGGGATGGTGAATCCGCACCATGGCATGGCATGGCCTGGCATGGCATGGCATGGCATGGCATGACGCCGTCAGCTATTCTGGTCCGACTAGGTAGTCAAGGACTAATAGCAGGGCAGTTGGCAAGAGTACGACACCACTAGATAGTTCTGTCCCTACCATGACACCACTCTCCCTGCCTGCCTCTGTCGTAATCGCAACTCTGCTCGTGTCTGCTGTGACCCCACTCTCTGCCCATAACGTGTTATGCGCATGACAGGAACATGAGCTACAACAACATAACTGGGGCCATTCCAGGCAGCATGGGCCAGCTGCTGGCTCTCAAGGACCTGTATGCCCGCCCCGTCACATACACCTTTCCTCCCATACCTACCTTCACTCCATTGCAATGCCCTGCTCTTTTTGGGAAAGGGTCAGATATCACGAGTACCATTTCTGAGAATTCTCAAAGGTCAGATATCACGGGTAACATCCTGGTAGAGCCATGGGACAGTGTTTGTGTTTGTGTGTGCGCGCGCGGGCGCAAGTGTGTGTGTGGGTACATCTCCCACCCTGCAACTTTCCCTGCACTTCCCTCTGCATTGGTTTTGCTTTTGATAGTTCTCGGAGTGCAACTTTTTGTGAAGAAGACTCCAATATGACTTCGCTCCTCCCCCTGCTACTACCTGTACCGTCAGGGACCTCTCGCACAACCAGCTCTCAGGAATCCCTCCTGAGATTGGCAGTGCGACCAGCCTCTCCTACCTGTAAGGATCGCGCTGCTCTCTCTTTCCGCGGCGTGTGCTGCTCTGCTCATGTCTGCATGTGCCCTTGTTGTTGAAAGGCGGATCGGATACCAGCGACTGGGGGAGTGAAGTGAGGGAGATGCCGAGAGTGCAATTGGTTGGAGTACCGAATCCTGTTGTGGGCTCATGGATGGGTGGCAGAGGGAATGTGGATGGGCATGGTTGGTGAACGGGCATGCCGTGTTGAGCGGGCATGCCGTGTTGAGTGGGCATGGCATGGTGAATCTGCACCATGGCATGGCACAGTCAGCTATTCTGGTCTGAGTAGGCAGTTAAGGACTATTAGCAGCGCAATAGGCAAGAGTATGACACCTCTCCAGTAGATATTTTTGCCCCTGCCATGGCACCACTCTCCCTCCCTGCCTCTGTCGTAATTCCACTCAGCTCGTCTCAACTGCAGGCCCTCTAGGACTTGTATGCCCTCCATGCCACATACTCACTCCCTCCGATACATATCTTCACTCCATTGCAAAGCCCTGCACTTTTTGGGAAAGGGTCAGATACCATTAGCGTCATACAGTAGTAGAGCCCATGGGACAGTGTTTGTGTGTGCGTGTGCACGCACGCGCGAGTGTGTGTGTGTGGGTGCGTCACCCACCCTGCATCTTTTGCTGCACTTCCCTCATTGCTGGTTCAGCTTTTGAGAGTTCTCAGAAGCAAATCTTTGTAATTAAGACCCCAGAATGACTTTTTTCCTCCCGCGTGTTCCTGTCTGTGCCCTCAGGGACCTCTCGTACAACCAGCTCTCACAATCCATCCCTCCTGAGATTGGCACTGCGACCAGCCTCTCCCACCTGTAAGGAGCGCATCGCTCTCTCTTTCCGTGGCATGTGGAGGTCTGGTACTGTTCTGCTCGCTTCCGTGTGCTGCGAGGCACGTATGACGGGGCATGCATGGTGGGCCGTGCATGGTGGGGCATGCATGGTGGGGCATGCGTGAGGTATGAAAGGATCATAGCATTCCTTGAGGAAAGGAACCATGGCACCATCACTCAAAAGGAGCCACGATCCGTCACGTCCATCCCTCTGTCTCACTCGTCGCTCTGTCTGTCTCGCTTAATAGTACCTCAATCTCACTCCTCCCTCCATCTCATTCCCCCCTTCATGCTCCCTCAGCGACCTCTCACACAACAATCTTACAAGCTCCATCCCATCTGAACTTTCCAAGGCCGTCCGCCTCTCATACCTGTAAGCCAGCCTCTCGCACCTGTAGGATTCATATCCCTCTTCCACCTGTTACATTTGCATGTGTAGTCCACTTGACTCCTCGTGCTGTAGCAGGCAGCCATGCACAGGGCGTAGCAGAGCAGAGCAGTGCACAGGGCGTAGCAGAGCAGAGCAGCGCACAGGGCGTAGCAGAGCAGAGCAGCGCACAGGGCGTAGCAGAGCAGAGCAGCGCAGACGGCGTTGCAGAACGGAGTAGAGGCTGGTCGAGGTGGGGGACAACCCGAGGCAACCTGTGAACAATCCACGTGAACAACTGGCTTGCCTGATGTGGCTGGGCACGAGCTGGGCTGGATGAGCTGATTCATTCCCCTTTCGGACAGGACAGAGGTTAGCATGCGACGTGTGCCAAACACGTGAGGAAAGGATCCGGCTGCTCGACTCGTGAGAGTGAGCTGACAAGCCGCTGCTGGCTTGGCCAACCACCCACCTACCTACCTACCTACCTACCTACATGAGTCGGACATGAGCAGTTCCTTTGCACACCTCAATGAATGGGGGCACAACGCCGAGCATGGATTCTGTAGAGCATCTGCCGCAAAAGGTTTACACCAGGAACATCTGCCGCAGGCACTCTCAGCTCACTCCCTTAAATCTCTCTCTCTCTCTCTCTCTCTCTCTCTCTCTCTCTCTCTCTCTCTCTCTCTCTCTCTCTCTCTCTCTCTCGCTCTCTCTCTCTCTCTCTCTCTCGCTCTCTCTCTCTCTCTCTCTCTCTCTCTCTCTCTCTCTCTCTCTCTCTCTCTCTCTCTCTCTCTCTCTCTCTCTCTCTCTCTCTCTCTTGCTTGCTCCATGCGCCGTCCACGCCCTCTGCCAATGTCATTGTAGCAACCTGGGCAGCAACTCTCTTAATGGGTCTATTCCCGAAAATCTGAAGCAGCTGCCGATCCTTCAATTCCTGTACGTCCGACCCTCTGTTTGCCTCGTGGTGCACCCCTCTCACCACCGTATGCTTTTCTACTTTTGAGGCTCCTAAAAAATCTTAAGCAGCTGGGGAACCTTCAATTCCTGTGCGCCCGACCTGTTTGCCTCTCGGTGCGTTGCTCTCACCACCGCATGCTCCTGCACCTGCACATTCCTTCCCATATAAGATCTGCGTGAACTGAGGCGATTTCCGAGGTGCCTAAAAAATCAGCTGAGGAACATTTATTTCCTGTACGAAAGACCCTCTGTTTGCCTCTCTGTGCCCACGTGCGTTGTTGCGTTCCGCAGCCTCTTGCAAGACAACGGCCTGTTCGGGCCCGTAACAAACAACATTGGCGCACTCCGTCAACTAAGAGAGCTGTGAGCCACTGTCACCTTTTGAGTCCACTCACTCAACAGTCAAATGTGAATCGACTCGAAATCCAATTCATTTCGACTCAGAGGGCAACACCCTTTCTGGGTCCACTGTGTTGCGAGTAGCATTAGCGGACGACGTCAACTTAAAGTGGAAGCTGTAGGTGTCCGTCCGTCTGTCTGCTGGCCCTGCCCCTCGCAATCATTACACACATTATACACAAGCTGCCTGCCTGCCCCATCAATCTTTCTCTGCTTCTCCTCTCCTCAGTTGCTGCTTAGGAAAAGAGAAGTTTGTCTTGCCAGAGTGGTGGTGGTGGTGGTGGTGGTGGTTTTCACCAGTTGCTGTGTCCACAGCACACCAGAAGTGCCTCCGTGGATGGGAGGCCCATCAGTTGGGTGCTTGTGCTGAGAGGCACCAATGGATGCGTGCATGATGGGACACGCATGATGGTGCATGCATGATGAACGCAGCATGACGGGGGGTATGCATGATGGGTCATATGGGTATGTCTTAGGGCCTAGCTTTCACGGAGGAACCGTAAGAAACGTCTAACCCTCTGTGGCCCGTCCCTCTCTGCCCCTCTCTCCTCGTGCTCCCCCCAGCAACCTCGCAAACAACAAGCTGTCTGGGTCCATCCCTTTAGAACTTTCCCGCCTCGACAACCTTTCACAACTGTGAGTCATTCAGGGCACGCGCGCACCCGCAGCTGCCACTGCAGCAGAGTGCAGCAGCGCCTATGCTTCTCCCATACCCCATCCGTTCCATCCATCGCATGTGCTGAAGCCTGCATGCATTCCAAAGCAGAGGCCATGAAAGCCGAGGCCCCTCTCTTCCCCTAGCCTCACGATGTGTTGAAGCCATTAGTTGAGCGGGTAGGGTAGCATGAGAGGAAACTCAGCATGTGATGGTGCATGGATGGAGAGGGATCCATGAGACTCGATGTGCATCGAAACCCCGGGCTGATGTGTAGGGCGCCTCAAAACAGAAACAGCTACAGGGAAAATCCCTACAGAGGAATCATCATGCCTTTTCCCATTAGTTTTCGAAAAGATCAGAACCCCAGAAACCCCATGGCTTCCCAGCTCATACCCTTCTGTGCGTTGCTCGGGGGTATATCCAGCTGGGGCTTGGTTTAGCATGGAGGAGATTGGATCATTGGATTGGCTGGGAACTGCTGGGCTGCAGGAGAGGAGAACCAACAAGCAATTCTTGTCTGATTCCGTCTCGGCGCATGCTTGCGCGCTGCTCTTGGTTTGCTTGCAGCCTCCTGCAGAGCAATGGTCTTAATGGATCCATTCCCGAACGCATTGGAAATCTAAGAAATCTAGTGCGACTGTAAGTCATTGCATGTGTCCAAACTCTGCACATGAACTTCGTGAGTCTGCTCTGACTCTCCCGTCTCACCGCACCACACTGCATCGCACCGCATCTCCTCGTGCGTGCTTCTGCCAGAACTTCAAATGGATTGTAAACCTCTGTGTCACCTCTTGTTTCAGCTTGAAGTATGTAGATATCTCCGCTCTTCATGTCCGCGTGCTTCTGGCTGCCTTTGTGACCTGTCCCCTCACAAGTCGCCTCTTGCATCTTCTTTAGCAAGCTTCTGTCAGACACCCTTACATGTTGTGCAGATGTTTCTTTTGCCCTCACTAGTCTCATCTCCTCTTTCATCGATCCCCCTCCCCATGCTCCTCCCCCATGCCCTCAGGGACCTGTCCAACAACCAGCTGTCAGGACCCATCCCATCCGAGCTGTCTAATCTTCGCGAGCTCACCCACCTGTAAGGGAAATTTGAGGATGTGCGTGTTCACCTGTTGTGACCATGGGCATGGTGCGTGGGGCATGGTGCGTGGGGCATGGTGGGTGCGGCATGGTGGGCGGGGCAAGGTGGGTGCGGCATGGTGGGTGGGGCAAGGTGGATGGGGCATGGTGGATGGGGCATGGTGGTGCACGGTCTGGGCTGCATGTATGGCAGCAGTTGATTTGAGAGAAGCACTTCTCATGAGTAATTGATCAGATGGTCTGACCACAGGACCAATAACGTAACATGTAGACAGCGAGTGAGAGCTACCTGAACAGGAGCACGTTATGCACATCATGCTGGCTGTTCCCACGTGCCAGTGTGCGATTGCGCTTTGGCTCTCTCCCTTTTCCGTTTTCCCATATCACCATCTTGATTACCTTCTAACGCTGTAATCCCACCCGTTCTCTCCCCCCCACCCCCCCCCCCCTCCTCCTCCTCCTCCTCCTCCTCCTCCTCCTCCTCCTCCTCCTCCTCCTCCTCCTCCTCCTCCTCCTCCTCCTCCTCCTCCTCCTCCTCCTCCTCCTCCTCCTCCTCCTCCTCCTCCTCCTCCTCCTCATCCTTAATGCTGTGGCATGTCAGGGATTTGACCGGCACCAACATAAATGGAACTATTCCAAGCAGCATGAGTAATCTGAACCAGCTCTTGGAATTGTAAGCTTACATGTCTGCCTGCTCACAGTTACCCACTTAAACCCACCAACACTCTACCCCCCACCGACACCATGACTCTACCGAACCTTTCATACACCTTCGACCTGCCACTCCTGCTCTCTCATCATCACCCCGCGTGCGCGTTGCCTCTCTATGGTGCGTCCACGCCATTCAACTGTGAACTCACGCTACCCCACTCACATGCTGCCTTGTCCACCCCATTCCAGCCCACCCCGGTCCTGCATGCCACGATGCCATCTCCCCATGCTCCCCCCCCCATTCCGTCTCGTTCGTTCCATCCACTCTCTCCCTGTCCACCCCTGCGTGCACTGAATCATGCTCCTCCTCCTCTCCCATGCAGCCTCCTCCCAGGCAGCTTCTGCCCGTCAACAAGCCAAGGCTTCCTGTGTCTATTCGCGGACCCTGTCTGTCGTTGCAACATTACTGGTAAGCCCCAGCCGCAGCCGCACGACAACTGGAAACTGGTTCCAGTCCAGGCGCGTGTCTCGTCCCGTTGCTACCCTGCGTTGAGTTGAGAGACTGTCTGTCCGGTGCTGGTCTGTAAAGTAGGTCTTTGTTGAGACCCTCCAGTCCAGTACCTGGTGTTTGTTTCTTTAGGCGACTTTTCAGGCATCTTTTCACCTTCTCTCTTATTTTCTGTAGCCCCTCTTTCCCTCACGTACTCACTTCACTTGTGCATACTCCCGCCCGCATCTGCATCCATCACCCTGCCATCTACCTCACTCCCATTAGCAGCACCACCCTCATCACCAGCGCCACCGTCCGAAGCATCACCATCTGTCCCCCCAGTCCCCACGCCCGACACACAATCCTCCTCCTCCTCCTCCTCCTCTCTCTCCTCCGCCGCCGTTGCCGGCATTGCCGTTGGTGCTGCATTCGCGGTGGCTGCTCTGGTGGCGCTGCTGCTGCTTGTTGCGTGGCGCTACTGCGGCACTGCCCGCGCTGCTGGTGAGTTTTGAGTCGACTCAAAAGTCGCGCTGGTGGCGCTGCTGCTGCTCGTTGTGTGGCGTTACTGCGGCACTGCCCGTGCTGCTGGTGAGCGCAGGCAGGAGGGGGAATGTTCCTTAGATTTAGGATGGGCATGGGTGGAATGGCATCGATCGAGTGGCTGGGATGTGCGGTTAAGTGGTATAGTTGGTGCGGGCGGGTGGCACAGATGGCATGGGGGTGCTGCGGGCACCATGTTAGCTGCGGGTCGGGCGGATTGGTGGGGCGTTGTTGCGCTGCTGGAACGTGGAATGGGGAAATGCCAGTGGAGTATGTGGGTGTGGGATGATGGCATGGCACTGGTAGAGGTGAGTTTTGAGGCACCTAAGCAATCATTCCTTGTCTTGCGCGTTTCTGTTCGTGCGTGGCTGGAAAGGGCGATGTGGGGTATGCATGTGAGATGATGACCCTGCCCTGGTAGGGATGTGTCCACGTCCCCCTCTCCACGCCTCCTCCCTGCGCCTCCCACCCCTCCGCTTCCCCCCACTAGTGGCGGTGTGCGCATCAACCCCCAGGGCAGCTTTCAGGGAGTTCACATTGGTCGAGGTGCGGGCAGCCACGGACAACTGGGCAGAGGCGAACAGCCTGGGGTGGTGCTCACAACCCCACGCTGTTCGCCTTGACCTCATTGTCACCCGCGCCGTCATCCTTGCTAACAACTGGCGCTTTCAATCCTCCCTTTACCTGAATCCCCCTCTCCCCTCCCCCCCATCCCTTTGTCCTCCTCCTGCTCTTCCCACCTCCCCCACCCCGCACTTCCTCCCCACTCCTCCTTCCTCCCACCCACCAGTGGCGGTGCGCGCATCCACGCCCAGGGCAGCGTTCAGGGAGTTCACATTAGTCAAGGTGTGAGCAGCCACGGACTAGCCGCCTCAAAACACGCCCCCCACTCCTCCTCTCCCCGCAACCCCCCTCCCACCACCACCAGTGGCGGTGCGCGCATCGACCCCCGGGGCGGCCTTCAGGGAGTTCACATTGGACGAGGTGCGGGCAGCCACGGACAACTGGGCGGAGGCGAACAGCCTGGGGGCGCGCGGGTTCAACGATGTGTACAGGGGCCTGGACCCCTACAATGAGGGCCTCGTGCTCACTGTCAGCCGCGCCCGCGTCCTCGCTAATAACTTCAAGAAAGCGGTGCGTGCACAGGGGAACTGTGGAAGTGGTTTGTTTGGTTGTTTGTTTGTTTGTTTTATTTTCCTTCTAATTATGTTGCTCAGCTTCTTGTTTCCTCTGCTTTGCATTTGGCATGGCACGGCACGGAACGGCATGGCAGGTGGAGCGAATGGGGGCGGTGCGGCATGCGAACGTGGTGCGGCTGGTGGGGTTCTGCATGGAAATGACGCCCAGCGCGCTGGAGCAGGTCACCCTCTACCCCTTCTTCCCCCACGGCGACCTCGAGAAACGCCTCAGGCCAGGTGGGCGCCTAGATGGGTCTTGAGAGCTTTGCTTATAGCCTGGTGGACGGTCGTATTGGGAATTTGAAAAGAAAATGAAACCCATAAAAAAGGAACAAAAAAACGAAACTTTTAGACAGACGGTCAATAGGCGCCCTGATTTTGCTTCATATGCGCGGTTGAGGCTCGTAGGAACGCACTTGGCAATTGCAGAACAACCTACGCCATGGGTGAATGAAGCTTGTACCCCGTATGTCCACACTGCGTGTGTGCACTAGCGGAGAGTGAACCAACACGAGTGTCTGTCTGTTCTCTGTTCCAAGAGCCGCAGGAACCTTCACTTGGCCAGCTCCCCCTGCCAAAGAGTCACACAAGGGGATTCTCAAAAGTGACACAAACTCAGCTCCTCAAACCCGGCAGCCTTCTGACATAATTCTCAGCAAGCAGCAGAGAATTACATCAGAAGACCGAGTCACACATGAGGACGGTCAAAAGTGACACATGCACAGCTCCTCCAACCCAGCAGCCACATTGCACCACCCTGGAATTTCTTCTCTTCTCGTGCCCTGTTGCCATCTATTCCGTCCCTCCCGCCATGCCCTACTCCCTCAGGCGCACAGGTGCCCCTGAGCCTGGGCGAGAGGGTGGGCATACTGGCGGGGGTGGCGAGGGGGCTGGAGTGTCTGCATGCGAGCGGCATCGTGCACCGCGATGTCAAGCCCTCCAACGTCCTCCTTGACAACCACCTGCAGGTCTGTGCTCCTCTCACTTCCCCACAGTCTCACGTTATCCCGCTTCAAGAACGCTTAGAATATTTGCACAGAGTCATGATTTCTTTCTATGCCGTGTGTGTGGATTTGAAGTGCTGTGATGTGCTGTGACGTGATGTGACTTAATGTGACGTGATCATGGGCTGATTTCTTGTTTTCTCCTCTCCTTCTCTCTTCGTCGTGCTAACAGCCTCAACTAGTAGACGCTGGGTTTGTGAGGGTGGTGGAGAGCGGTGGGGAGGATGGTGCGAGAGTGGTGGGCACGCCAGGCTACGTGGATCCTTCCTATGCCAAGACACATGTGGCAACCCCTCAGTCTGATGTGTACAGGTACGTCGCCCCCAAATCCTATGCAAAGTTTGGGTTCTCGGTGTGTGCGTGTGTGTGTGATCGCGGCACGCGCTGCTTGCTACTGGATGCTGGGCAGCACTTGGAAAATGCTGTTAAAGAAAAACCCCTTACCAGGACCCTTTCTAGCATGCTTGAGCCTCTCGTATGGCTACACCGCAGCTTCTCTACTCACCACTCTCTCTCTCCCCCACCCCCCGTTCTTTCTGCCCTTCAGTTTCGGTGTGGTGATGCTGGAGGTGCTGACTGGTCGCAGGGCTATCCTTGTGGTTACCGACCGCCAGATGTCAATCAGTCAGTGGGTGAGTCGAATCCTCCTCCCTCTTCCCGTCAACTCTTGCTCCCTCTTCCCACATCTCATGCCTTATTCACTCCCTTCACATGCTCCAGCAGCCCAGGGTCTTTCTGCATAACCCCAACCGCAACTGAGCATCATCAACCTCCTGGTTACCAAACTCTTATCCCAGGACCCCCTGCTCCTCTCACCCGGCAACCCTCACACACACTCCTGCATCTTCCACTTGCTGTATTGCCCAGTCCCGCCCTTGTCCCATCCAACCCAATTCTACCACCTACCACATCCAACAACGATCCCTCCACCTTCACAACCCCACTTCCCTCCTATCCTCCCCGCAAGCGTCCCAGCACGTGGATGCGAACGACGTAGCGGCATTAAGGGAACCTGAGTTGCCGATCGCATACAAAATGCTGCGCCGCCTTGTCTCCACTTTTGAGACGTCTCCAAACTATCCTCTTCCTCTCCCTCCGATCCATCCCCCCCACACAGGCGTCCCAGCACGTGGATGCGAACGACATAGCGGCTTTAAGGGACCCGGAGATGCCCATCGCTTACGACATGCTGCGCCGCCTTGTCTCGCTCGCCCTCTCCTGCACCACCACGCTGCCGTCCATGCGCCCGCGCCTCTCTCACGTGCGCGAGCAGTTAGAAGCGGTAAGGCGGTCCCTGCCGCCGGCAGCCCCAGTGCAACCCGCCCCTGCTGCTGCTCCTGCCAATGCTCCCCTGCAGGGAGATATGGAGCAGGGTTTGCTGGATGAACCCTAGGAGTGCTGGTGGGAAGGGGGGGTGGGGGGGGAGGGGGGGGGTGGGGGTGGGGGGGGGCGGGGGAGGTGGGTGGGATGAATTGAAGGGGGAGGGGGATTGGAGAGGAGTTGGGGAGGATTTAGTTAGAATTTATGTACCGTAGATGTACAGGGAAGGGACCTGGACGTTCAGGTTTTCATCATAGCGTTGGTGTGGTGTGCAATTTATTTCCAGCTTGTGGATTCATTTTGATGTAGATCAAGTCTCATGTATCACCGTATGCACAACTCAGGATGGGTGTACCGCTTATATGTATTTGCCGTAACTTACTATGCTAGGTACACCTTGTTGTGCAGATTCCATAACACCAGAATCGCGGGAGTGTATCTATCAACGAACGAACTCTATCACGCCGGCTTCGTCAGCGGGGGGATGCGTACGTGGGGCTAGCTGTGTCGCGGGGGGCTTGTCGAGAGGACGACTCTGTGTTTTCGGCTTATCTTTTAGGGTCACTGAAGGCGCTCATCGGGGTGGCGTTACAACGTGCGCAAGCCCGTGTCATCCTGCTTCGAGCGGCGTCTTCCATGGGGGGGATTAAAGCCCGCGTCCCAAATTGCGGGCCGCGAGGGTCAAGTTTTTAAAACTTGACGAAGTTGAGTGTCCAAGCTTTTGAAAGTCACGCACTTGCAATTTGGGACTTTCGAAGACAGATTCACTCACCAGGGGGAAAACCGAGGGTTGGCTGGGTCTCGCGAAAAAAACGAACCTAGACGAAATCGGAAACTCTCGCCAAAGCCCACACCAGAAAAACTCCCTCTGGTCAACTTTTAAAAGCATGAACAATTTGGGCCGCCGGCTTTAACGTAGATTTGGCGGATCGAGAGAGGGACGATGTCGATGTGGAAGGCGTGGCTCTCTGGGTGGAGGCCCCGTACATGGTCGATACGTTGATGTGATTGAGGGGGGGGGGGGGGTGGGATGTGGCGTGGGATGGGATGTCTTGATGGGGTGTCTTGACTGGACGTTTTGATTGGGTGTCTTTAGGGGGGGGTTTTATGTGTGTTGCATTTGGGTTCTTTTTGGGAGTTTCATTTTCCTTCTCCCATTCTTTTGTTGGGCTGAAAAAGCCCTTAGGATCTTTGCAGAGGTGAATTCTGGGTAGAGTTGATGTAGTAGCGGAAGCGTCTTAATAAGGAGTTTGTGAACCACCTTGCGCTAGTATGTGAGGGCAAAGTGAATTAATTAAAGCAAAGAGATACAAGATTATATATGAATACAGAGAATATGAAGAGACACGGTTATAACTACTTTACTGTTGCTGTTGCGGTTCGATACAGTGACGACTCGGGCAACTGCTCTGTAACGAGTCAGTTGTGTGTCCTTGCTGTCGCGCTGCATTTGTCAGGTCAAAGGTCGCTGACCTTCGACTTTCGCGTAACCTCCAGCGGTTACTTCAACCTCCGAGGGTTGACTCGCTGGTGCCTCGATATGCTCTGCTTCGTTTGTGCCTTAGTGTTTCGACACGACAGAGGCGCTTAGGAACTATTGTTTCCAACATCTTTCTCCATTCACTTTCTTTTTCGGACACACTATGGCGAGACACATGGTGTGAATGACTGTTCTGTCTCCAGTGAGGGAGATTTGGCTTGTTTTAAGGGATCTGGATATTCTGGACTGTAAATGGAATGGACCCATGTAGAACTCTCCAGTACAGAATTATCCTGATCACCGAAGCGCGTGTGAAGTTCAGGCACACCCACGCAACCACCACACCCTCCCAGGGACGAGCCGTGGTGCACAGGCATTGGCTGAGTGGAAACGGTGGCCTCAGGCCTCTCGTTTGCAAGGTGTTATCCTTTGAGTTGTTGGAGAGGACAAGAGTGTTTTCAATTCATTTATTTTTTTCCACTTGACTGTGCCTGGATTTCGTGATTTGTAGTCGGCCGTGGGAGAGATGAGAATTACACTACCCCGAGATATTCCCACTCGATGGATGTCGTCACCTTGGAGAACTTAGCCGTAATACCACGGTGTCATTGGCTATGCAGACGATTTTTCTCGAACACCCCTCTTTTGCTCGGATTATAATCGGCGTTCACAAAGCATCTGGCCTGGTTCCCCAATCTTCGTTCAATGTTAATCACCGTAGAACCATCGTGTTATAGCCCATGGAAAATTTACGTAAGAACTGAAACCGTTCTTTCCATAGTGCTGAAAAGCAGCCAGTCGCACCCCAAATGCTAAATCGTAAGAGCAGCCGTGTATCAGCATGTGGAAATGCGTAGTCTTAAAACAGGGGGTTTTTTCAGAGCCTTAGCAGCGAAGAGTTTGTGACAAAAATCTCAAATCTCTGTCCCTGATCAGATCGCTCATACGCACCAGCACACTGGAGTCTGGAACCACTCAGAGGGAGCTTAAATCTCCACCACTCCCTTTGCTCGCTTTCCTTCCTTCACAACGTCTGCGAAGCCATGACTGAGCAATGCTCATCGCTAGAGGCTTTTCGGAAGCCGTTCCTCTGAAATTTAGTTTCCCAGAAGAAGGTGTGAATGGGCGGAAGATGGCGGGGGACGCGCGCGGCGGATGGCTGAATTTTACCGTGGATTCGCTGTTTTACCAATGTATTGCTTTGCGCGCGCGTGCCGCGCTGGTGTTGGTGGTAGCAACAATGGCGCCTCTTGCGCACGTCTGTAGTGCAGTTCCGTTACAGGCGTCCCAAGGTGGGGGATTGTGCAGTGGTGCTGTGCGGTAGCGTGCAGTGCTATGTGGATTCAGCCAGCGGCACTGCCCATCCCATTCCCAGCGGCGTTGCCATCCCGTGATCCCTCGGCTGTGCGCTGCACAGTCTGCCGCGCTTCCTGCGTTGCCCGAGCTGGCCGCATTGCCCGCAATTTCTCCTGAATTGTCCGCAATTGCCCGCGTTTCCCGCGTTTGTGTGGCAGCGGCGGTGCTGCAGGAGTGCGCGGCGGCCTGGAACAGGACCTTCAGCGGGTGGACGGCAGGCGCGGACTGCTTGCTAGCTAAGGGGATCACGTGCGATGCAGAGGGAATGGTCGACAGCATGTGAGACACTCTGTACCCGCGTGCGCTGCCTGCTGCCTTGTGCCTGCTGGCTGCTGTGCACTTGCTCCGCCTGTGCGCTGCGTCTGCTGTGCGCTTTGTGCTGCGTCCTGTGTGTTGCGTCTCGTGTGCTGTGCGCATGGTGCTGTGCTGCGATTCTCGGTTTCGACTTTGCCATCCTTGAGGCTTCTTCTCTTCTCCTCTCTGAGATTTTCCAGAGTTGCGCCAACGCCACGCCCACAGGTAGCTGAACACCCCGGGCAAAGGGTAACAATGTGTTTCCACTGCCATTGCTTGGAAACCAAGCCACGCTAGTTCCAGTTAGCATACTCCTCTTCCTCGTGAGCTGCAGTCGCCCTTGCCTTGCTGCCCAACTGAGGGCTCGGTGGGCGAGAAACTCCTGGTGGGAAATTGGATCGGTGACACACACACACATCCATGGTGTCACACATCCATGGTGTCACACATCCCTACTTCGCCCGATGCCATGTGATATACGAAGTGTTTTGCGACGTATTGGCTCTCAACCGGGGAGTCTCTGTTGGATCTTGTGGACTGTGAAGCCCGCTTTCGCCCCAATCCGTGTGCATTCATCCGTGATAGGGTGTGGTGAGTTTAACTTCTGCCCTTGCCCTCCTCACAGCGTCGTCGGAGAGAGGGTATTTGCATATTGGCAATAACAGCGGCGGCACTGAACCAGAAGAGGGAGGCCGAGGCAGAGCCATAGCTAAATGCGCCGCGCTAAGTTGTAACGCCGCAGTGAGCGAAAGGCAACATCATCAGCCAATCCCCCAAGCTCCTGGGTATGGCCGTGCAGTGGGTTGGGAGTCAGTCATGCGGCGGGAGTTCCCGAGTAAGGTGGTGTAGTGGTCCGAGTAAACCTTTGAGGCACCTCAAAAGTCCTATCAGGGACAGGAGGCGCTGGGTATGGCCGTGCAGTGGGTGGGTTGGGAGTCAGTCAGTCATGCGGCAGGAGTCCTCGAGTAAGGTGATCTAGAGGGCTGAGTAAACAGCCAGGAACAGCCAGTAAACAGTCCTCTCTGGAATTTGGAACCCTCCATTTTATATCCCGGCGGCCAGCCTCCAAAGCCGGCTGCGCCTCAACAGGAGATGAGCTACTGCTGCTGGGTGCAACACCCAGTTGAGCGACTGCACTGCAGCAGGTGGGAGGTAGTGATGTGATGACTGAAGCCAGGTAAGGCATAGCTGTCCTGCCCTCCATAGCTGGGTTTGTGAGGCCCTGCCCCCCCAAGGTTACCGGTAGCGCCGATAGCTGCCAGATCCGCGGGCGTTCTTCAGGCTTGCGTGCTGTGCTGTGCTGATGTGATGTGGGAGGGACGCTTGCATGAATGTGATGTGTGAAGGAAGGCCTCTCCCCAAGCCGGCCATTCCTCCTCCGGCAAGGCGTCTAGCGGTGTAGGGCGGGCTAGGAATGACTCCCGCTGGCTGACACAACATACATGAGTAGGCAGGAGGCGGCATAGCCGCGGGTCCATCCGAGCTAGCAGCTGTAACGGTTCAGTAGTAGTAACGGCTAGGCGAGGCTTTACTGTAATGACCCGGCACATCTGGGTGTTGGGCTGACCGGGTTACTTACCGAGCACCCTTAGCGTAGCCCTGTTTCCGAGAAGCTCACCCCCGGTGGGAGGACGTCGGCGCCAACCAAGGTGGCCGGGTTGTGTGTGATGAAGGACTAATGAGGCAAGGGGCGTTGTGAAGTGGTTGAAGGCGTTGCTGCAGGCGGAGCGGACAGACGGCTCCCCTAGGATGGTGATGTCGTCCGCGTATGGAGGCGATTCATGGCAGTCGCAGTTGAGGCGAGACAGGGGTGGATGCTGGCGGGTGAAAAGGAGCGGACCCATATCGGGTCGGGTTGCCCTGCTGTACTCCCCGCCCCGGGCGCTCAGCAGGGACAGTGATGCGAAGGCGTGGTCCAGGTATAGGTACAGGGATGAGGGGCT